AGCAGTTAGAGCCTCCATTTTTGTATTGTGTCTCATTAATAGCCTTTCTGATTTTGACTTGATTATAGTTCTTTTGTTTCTCCAGAAAGGGATTCTCTGGTGTCTTCTATGCTTTTTTCAAGCCAAGCTGGTATCTTTATAATCGTTATTCTGAACTCTAGTTCTGACATCTTACTTATGTCCATACTGATTAGGTCCCTGGCAGTTAGTACTACCTCTCGTTCTCTTTTTTGAGGTGAGTTTTTTCATCTTGTCATTCTTGTATAAAGTGGTTGCTTTTCTTTTTTTCTTTTTTTTTTTTTTTTAAAGATTTTATTTATTTATTTGACAGGCAGAGATCACAAGTAGGCAGAGAGGCAGGCAGAGAGAGGAAGGGAAGCAGGCTCCCTGCTGTGCAGAGAGCCAGATGCGGGGCTCGATCCCAGGACCCTGGGATCATGACCTGAGCCGAAGGCAGTGGCTTAACCCACTGAGCCACCCAGGCGCCCCAGTGGTTGCTTTTCTATTTGTAGAGCTGCAGCTATTCTTTTTTTAGTTCTCCAGTTGAGTTCACAGGTGTTCAGAATGATTTGATAACTATCTAGCTGAATTCCTGGGATTAGATGAAACTAAGGTCTCCTACTCTTCTGCTAGCATATATATATATATATATACATATATATATATATATATATATAAAATCAGTGTAATTCCTGATATGTTTGGACATCACACACACACACAAACTTTTTTTTTTTTTTTTTTAATAGTAGAAATTTATTTCTCACAGTTCTGGAGGCTTAGAAGTCTGAGATCAGGGTGTCAGGGTCCCAGCATGGTCTTGTCTGGTGAGGGTCTGTAACATTCTGATTTTTAATAAGAAATATGTATTTGGTCTTTATCTGTTTCTGACAGAGAGCTCCTAAAACCCTTAGAGTTTCTTAAGTGGTAATGAAGATATTGATATTCATAACAAATGCCTTTCAGCCACACCTGAGTTTATGGTAATGAGGTGACTTTTGGAAAGCCCCTTAAGAGGGGGGCTGATTGTCAGGAGATACAGCATGTGATTAGAGGATGGAACTTTTCCACCTTCCTGACCTTGGAGGTTAAATCCTTTGCCAACAACCGCTAGTGATTTAATCAGTCATTCTTACTCATGTAAGGAAGCCCACAAGGACAGAGTTCAGAGAATTTCTGGATTGATGAAATATGTGGACATTTGGGAAGAGTGTACAGCACTCAGAGAGGGCATAGAAGTTCAGCACCCTTTCCTCAATAACTTGCCCTCTGTCTGTCTTCCATCTGGCTTTTCCTGAGTTACATCATTTATAATAAACTGGTGATCTAGTAAGTAGAACATTTTCCTGAGTAGTGTGAGCTACTCTGGCAAATTAATTGAACCCAAGGAGGGGGGTCATGGGAACCTTTGGTTTATGTGCTTGATCAGAAGCACACTAGAGAACCCGGACTTTTGATTGGTATCTGAAGTGGAGGAGGGGGCAGCCTTGTAGGACTGAGTCCTTAACTTGTGGGATCTGATGTTGTCTGCTTGTAGATAGTGTCAGAATTAAGCTGAATTGTAGGACACCCAGTTGGTATTCAAGAATTACTTGGTGGTGTGTGGGAAAAAAGCCACATATTGGAATTGGTCACAGACTTAGAGGACCTTTTCTATGTTGCAACTTCTCATTATGTCCTTAAATAGCAGAGAGAGGATCCCTATTTTTTTCATTGCTCTGCTTCCTTTTCCTGCCTTCTATTCGATTGTCTGAACATTTTTAGTATTCCATTATAATTTATTATATAGATTGTTTCCTAAGTTATATTGCTTTTCATGTTTGTTTTTTTGTTGGTGGTATTTTTTGTTGTTGTTGTTTTGTTTTTTGCTTGCTCTGGGGATTATAAAGCACACGCTTAACGTTTTGGTGTACTTCAAATCAGTATTTCAGCAGTTCAAGTGGAATGTAAAAATCTTCTACCATGTAGGTCCTTTTGCCTCCCCTCTAATGTCATAGTTCTCTTACATATTACATTTATAATCAGTAAAACGCTATTAGTGTTTTAATTTTTTATTTCAACCCCTAAACATTGTTTAAAGAACTGTGGAGGAAAGTCTATTCTCTTTGCTCCCTGTTTAACCTTTGGATTGCTTTTGCTTTGTTCTGTGTCCCAAGTCCTTCTGATATTACTTCCCTTTTATCTAGAAGAACTTTGATTAGCCTGTTGCCTATGAATCCTTTTTATTTTCTTTCATCTGGGAATATTCTTATTTGTTGTAGGATTCTGTGTTGACACTTCTTGTAGACTTAAAAAGTGTCGTTCTACTTTCTCATGTCTCTTTGTTGTCTGAGGAGAAATCCACAGGCATTCAAATTGTTCTTCTCTAGGTAATAAAGCATAAAGCATTTTTTCTCTCTTTCCAAGATATTTTTTCTTTTTTTCACCAGTTAATTTTTTTTAAAGATTTAATTTATTTATTTGACAGACAGAGATCATAAGCAGGCAGAGAGGCAGGCAGAGAGAGAGAAAGGAGGAAGCAGGCTCCCCACAGAGCAGAGAGCCCTATGCGGGGCTCGATCCCAGGGCCCTGGGATCATGACCTGAGCCGAAGGCAGAGGCTTTAACCCACTGAGCCACCCAGGTGCCCCTCACCAGTTAATTAATTTTTTTTTTTAAATTTGAGTATAGTTGACACACAATGTTACACTGGTTTCAGGTGTACAACTTAGTGATTTGGCAAGTTTTTACATTATTCTGTGTTCACGGCAAGTATAGCTACCATCTGTCCTGATACATCAGTATTACAATATTGTTGACTGTTCCTTATGCTGTGCCATGTAGCCCTGTGATTATTCATTCAAGATTTTTTTTTTTCTTTACTTTAGTTTATAACAGTTGACTATGATGTGTCTGGTATGGATTTCTTTCTTTTCTTTTTTAATTAAGATTTTTTATTTGAGTGAGAGAAAGTGAGTGAGTGAGAGAGAGAGGGAGCACAATCAGGGGGAAGGAAAAGCAGTCTCTCCGCTGGGCAGGGAGCCCCATGCAGGGCTTGATTCCAGAACCCTGGGATCATGACCTGAGCTAAAGGCAGATGCTTAACTGACTACCAGGTGCCGTTGGTATGGATTCCTTTAGGTTTATCCTTTTTGGAATCCATTAAGTTTCTTGAATTCATACATGGGTGTTCTGCCAAATGTAGGAGGTTTTTGGCCATTGTTTTCACCCACTTTCTGCACCCCTTGCACTCTAATGACACAAATATTAGGCCATTTCTCTTGTACCAAAGGTCCCCCAAGTCTCCTCATGTTTTTCCAACCTTTTCTCTATTGTTCATATTAGATAATTTCTATTGTTCTGTCTTCAAGTTCATGGAATCTTTTTCTGCCTTGAGCTTGTGTAGGGGGTTTTTTAAATTTTAGTATGGTACTTTTTAGTTTAAAAAAATTTTTTTTTTATATGGTATCTTTTTTTTCCTTGCTTTTGATTGTTTTTTCTTTCCGTTTGAGAGTGTTATCATTGTTTGTCAGAGCATTTTCATAGTCATTGCTTTAAACTCTGCTAAATAATTGTAATATCTGTGTTCTTTCATTGTCAGTATATGTTAATCATCTTTTCCTATAGGAGTTAAGACATTCTTAGTTCTTTGTGTGCTAAGTAGTTTGGACTGCAACTGGACATTGTGGATGTTATGAAATGGGATTCTGGATCTTAAGTCCTGGGAGAATGCTGATTTTTTATTTTACCAGGCAAACTACTTGGTTCAATTTAGGTGTGGTTCTGACCTGCCTTCTCTGGGGTATGATTTGGTGTCAGTTCTGTTTCAGAGCCTCTGCAGTGCCATTTGTGTCTGTCCCATGAGTGCCTCCTGTTGCCATCTGGGAGCCAGCTATGGTCTCAAGGGTTGTGTGAGAGGATCAGATTCATACACATACAGCTTGGGGGTGGGCCCAAAGTTCATGAGCAACTTTATGGGCTTGCAGTTTTGAGATTTCTTCCTCTCCACATTGTCCCTGGGGCTTTCCAGTGCCCTGGGGTTCCCTTTTTGGTTCTTTAGCCATTAGCTCAGGGTTTAGTAACTAGTTCCACCATGCACTTCTACACCCACACCTTGTCTGGCGCCCAGTGTTGGGAGGAGCAACTGGGTACCTCTTCCATTTAGTGTTCTTGCCAACCTGCCTGCTGCTCTTTCCTTACAATACATATAGTGGCTCCACATGTCCCATCTGGGGTCAGAGTTGCCCCACATGTCCCATCTGGGTTCAGAGCTTCTTGCTCTGTTGCCTCTGGGGATGGAGCTACTATTCCCTGTATCCCATCCAGGGTCAGAGCAGCATTCAGCAGGAGGCAGGCTGGTGTGTGCTGTTTCCTCTCCCCTGGAGCTGGCACAGATGTGTTTAGATGACATCCACCTCCATTTCTGTGCTTCCCTGCACGGGGCCTTGTTTGTGCTTTCAGTCCTTTGCCAACAGCCCCCTCCCTTTTTCATGTTGACCCTCGTCACTCACCTTAGTAGTCCCTACAGGCTGTCCCTGGAGGAAGAGCTTTGACCTTTACCATCTTTATCGTTAGTGTGTAACCTTGCTTAGAGGAACCATCTGGGAAGTGTCTGTAGGCAGGGAAGCACTATTGCCCCCTAGGAGGCTGTGCTGGCTTCGTTGGGGCAGACATACTGTTGAAGAGGACATTCCCTCCTCTGGCTCCATGAGGGGTTGTCAGACCCTCCCAGAGAGCCTACTAGGGACAATGGCTCCAAGGTGGGAAGGGTGACAGGAAGCAACAGTATGTGTGGTGGTCCATGTATCCTACACTTTGACATTCCTGGAGGCCAGAAGAGGCTACATCATGACTCCTTTGTGAGCAAGGCTAGGAGAGATTGGCCATGATCACTTCAGCCATCTCCATTGCCCTCAAGAGAGGGGTCAGGCGAGTGGGGTTCTGATTTCCCCACCTTGGAATGATTGTCAGAGTATCTCCACCCTTCCTCACAGCTCAGGTGGCTTTGTGTTTTGTTATAGGCCAAGATGGCGGCCCAGGTGACACTGGAGGATGCACTGTCCAATGTGGACCTCCTGGAAGAGCTGCCTTTGCCTGACCAGCAGCCCTGCATTGAGCCCCCACCATCCTCACTGCTCTACCAGGTTTGTGCTGGGTAGGAGTGGGGTGCACTACCTACAATGCTGACCTCCATCGCTTCTCGGCCTTTTGGCTAAGATCAAGTGTAGTACAATGCTGACCTCCACATGATGGTTTTTCTCTTCCTTTCAGCCAAATTTCAACACTAACTTTGAAGACAGAAATGCATTTGTTACTGGTATTGCAAGATATATTGAACAGGCGACTGTCCATTCTAGCATGGTAATTCCTTCTGCATGTTTTTGTTTTCCTTGGGGGAAGAGTACCTGTGATGGCAAATGTACACTTTTTTGGTGTTATCCTGATATGGTATATAGTAAGGAAAAAGGAAGACAGTGGATGAAAATGCCTTATGTTTTTAGAGAAGGCTTTGTTTTTCTTACTATAAAAATAATACATGTTCTTTCTGAATATTGAACATCTGTAGATGAAACAAAGAGAAAACCTTTGTCAGCATTTAGAGGGAGTCCGTTCTCTCTCATTATTTATACCTGTACTCATACAAGCAGTAATATACTCAAATGTGATTCAGATTGCATGAATGAATTATACTGTTGGTAGGCATTTTAATGATTTCACAAACTTTTCATATGTTATGAAAATGTGCCAGATAAAGTAATTTTTAATAGCTGTCAAGTCCCATTTTGTAAACTTCCTCAGTTTAATTATTTTTGCATGTTTACTTAGTTTCCCTTTTTTCTTTGTAATAAAAAATGTAGTGGTGAATATCATTCCAAACACATCATTATTCCCATTGGCTAGATTTGTTGAAGTGAAGTTACTGGGTCAAAAGTTGTAAACATTTTAAAGGATCTCAAGAACATGATGAAATATAGTTGACACGTTTAGAAAATCTCGGCACCTTTTACCATTTTTGCCAAAGAAAACAATGTGAAAGGAGTAGACACGAAAGCAGTTTTTAAAATAATGGCAGTCTTTAATGGATACTCTCTCTGGATTTTAAGTGCTGCAGAAATACTAGCTTTTCCTCCCCTGCACTAGGGATGACAGAGTTGCCTCAGTCTTATGAGCCCAGAGGCTCTCTGTAGCCTGGTGGTAAGGCCTTGAAGACCCTGTGCAAATCTACCCTATACTGGCCCCTGTTCTCAACTTGAGGTCTGCAGTGCCAGCAGGCTGTTTAGGGGTGAGTGGAGTTGAGGAATAGTGGCTGTGGCAGGTGCCCTGGGGCATGCTGGCTCCTCTCCAGCCAAGGGAAACCACGGGAGCATTTTGGGCGGGCGTTATGGCTACAGTGCTGCACTGCAGCGTCACCAGCTTCTTACCAACTGTCTGCTGGTGTGCAGTTCTTGGTACTTGTCTATCCCTCAAAGTGAGAGTCAGGAATGTTTATGCCTCGGGACTTTAGCAAAATCGCGTCTCCTTTTTTACGATTGTTTTCCTGCTTACCTTTGATTTGCCCTGTGTAAATTTCATTCTCTTGCAGAATGAAATGCTGGAGGAGGGCCAAGAGTACGCGGTCATGCTGTACACCTGGAGGAGCTGCTCTCGGGCCATCCCACAGGTGTCCCCATCCCAGCCATGCCTCACTCCATCCCTGTTGGCTATGCGGCACCCTCTTTCCCACTACAGACAATGCTCCTACCCTTCTGGTTCCCCCATCTCAGCCAGACCACACCCCCACTCCACCAGCCCTATCCCCCTCCCCCACCCCACCCCACTCCACCCTACAGTGGGTTGGCACTGCTGGCTCTGCCCTAACAGTGCCCTGCCCTCTCACTTCTAGCTAAGTTGAAGCCTCTTTATGTCATACTTGTTTATTCCTAGGTGAAATGTAACGAGCAGCCTAATAGAGTGGAAATTTATGAGAAAACCGTAGAGGTCCTGGAGCCTGAGGTCACAAAACTGATGAATTTTATGTACTTCCAGGTAAAACAGTGAAATAATCCTAGGAGTTTAATGCAGAGAAGTAGGAATCTGGCCCACTCTCACCCATCACCATGACTTACTAAATAAAGTGCATGTGAATTAAAGCAACCATAACAGCTTCTGAGACAAAAAGGAACAAAGCCTTTGTCAGTCTAAAGCTTTACTGACCCTTCTAGAATAAATACCTCTTTTGTGTTTCACTTCTCTTGTCTCTTTGAGTGTAAATTTGTATTTCCTCCATGAAGACTGTTTTCTGTTAGTTCCAAATGTGTTTGTCATTCTGTCAGTTCATACTTTTTTTTTTTTTTAAGATTTTATTTATTTATTTGACAGAGATCACAAGCAGGCAGAGAGGCAGGCAGAGAGAGAGGAGGAAGCAGGCCCCCCGCTGAGCAGAGAGCCCGATGCGGGGCTCGATCCCAGGACTCTGAGATCATGACCTGAGCCGAAGGCAGCGGCTTAACCCACTGAGCCACCCAGGCGCCCCAGTTCATACTTTTTATTCATCTTGTTTTTCAGGTCTTTTCTTTCTCTCCGCTTCTCCTAACTGTCCACTTAGTGGTCCTTGCTCTGCCTTGGCTCCTTTGGCCCACTGGTTAGGCAGAGTAGCCACAGGAAGGAGATTTGATAGTTTTTTAAAGATTTATTTTGGACATGTATGAAGTTTTTATTATAGATTCTTCAGGAAAGGAAGAAGATTGAACTTACTAGGAGAAGAATTTTTGTTTTATCTTCAGGGTTGTCAAGAAGAAAAATTTCCCTAACACCCCTTTTCACCTCTGAGTGCTAAAACGTCTATTTATAGACCTTCTATTGGAGCATTTTTCTCAGTAACTTTGCTTGTATAATCAACCGGATTCTTTTGTTTTAGGATGTAGTTGTTAAAGTAGAAAATAAATAATGATTGTCACTGAGCAAAGGCATGTGGAAATTACTTTATAGAAACAAGTTTCTTTAACTGAGCTGTAAAATCCACTCATTTGGGTGGGTATTTCATCAAAAAGGAATAGTGAGTCCAGATAACATGCTTGAAGCTAGGCATGGAGTTAGACCGTCACTGATAACAGCCTTTACGCCCTCCACTCCTCTGCTCAGAGAAATGCCATTGAGCGATTCTGTGGGGAGGTGAGACGCCTGTGCCATGCGGAGAGAAGGAAGGACTTCGTGTCTGAAGCCTACTTGATCACGCTGGGCAAGTTCATTAACATGTTTGCTGTGCTGGATGAACTGAAGAATATGAAGTGCAGCGTGAAGAACGACCACTCGGCATACAAGAGGTGAGCTTTGACCTCATTCACCCAGGTCCTTGCAGAGAGTGCTCTGGCAGGCAGGGTGGTTCCTGGTGAGATGCACGCTCTGCACATAGTAGGTGTGCATCTCATGTGCTGAAATAGTGCAGCTGGTTGTTAGCAGTTATTTGGCAGCCTCGGGATAGTTTGAATACACAAACCTAGGTATGTGAAGTTATGTGAAGTACCTGGCAGTTTATGTGTGTGGTGATGCATCAAGGTGTGTCCTCACAGGGGTGTGTACGTTGTAGTTTCATGACACTAGAGTGGGATCTGGTCATCCTCAAAGGTTTGTTGAGAACCTGTGGGTGCTCAGCTCGTGTGGGAACACAGAAGTACGCAAGTCCCTGTTACAGAGGCTTAGGGCCACTGCAAGGCTTTTGGCTCAGTAGGCATCTTGGTAAGGGCACAGGCAGGTTCTACAGCCTGAAGGCGCCACCTGTGTATGTCATTTCCTGGCTACATGTCCCTGGAAGGTACACACCATCACAGCAGTGGGCAGAGCTGGCCTGTGGACTGTCATGGAGTCATACTGAGCTTTCAGGTCCCTGAGACTAGCTCTTTTCCAGAGCTAGAGAGACCTTCTGGAGAAGAGAATTGGAAAGGTGGGTGTGGCATGGTAGTGTGCTTCTGGAAAATTGTGAGGGGCAGATGGTGGCAGGAAGATGGAGGGTGGTCGATCAGAGAAACGCAAACTCTCTTCTAATAGACTTGCTTTAGTTATTAATCTGTGCTTGGTACTGTTGAAGGCATGAGTAGCTGGAATGAGATGCTGACTTCTGTTTCTTCTGCTTGATAGGAATCTTGACTATGAAATTAAATTTGATGAGATTTTACTTTGCATTGGAATAGGCTGCAGTTAACATTGTATCTGAAATCATAAAATTGTTGCCGTGTCTTTAAAATAAAATCAGCATGGGATATGGTGCCAAACTGAGATTTGAGGATGAGGTTTTGGTAGGAGTTGGGCTAGATCACCCAGGGTTTAAGCTTGATCCATAATGAAGTTAAGTATATGTATCCATCACCTAGAGTTAGCTCTGGTGATCTTGATCTGTTAACCTCTCTTGAACAGGAAAGCCTGGAGTTGACGTTATCTGATGTGTTTGTGGGATTGTAAGTAAGCTTGACTCTGGGTGGAGCGTGGGGGCTTCTGAGGGTAGAGGATAGAACCCTGCCCAGGAGAGCAGCTTCTTCTCCTGGCTACAAAAGTCCCTTGCCACATGATTTTGAGCAGCTGTTTAAACCTTTCTGACTTAGGAAAGTAGAGGAGGTAGACAGCATCAGTGGTTTTCAATTTCAAAAAAGCTTTTTTTTCTTTCCTTAGTAGCGGCAACTTTATTCTGAAAGCCCAGTCTATAAAATAGTATAAAGATGGGACTGCTCTCTGGAAAGGTATGTGTGTGGGGGCCAGCACCCCCTCCAAGGTCAACCAGGCTCTCCTGAGCACAGAGGGGCTTGGGGCAACCCTCCTGCCTTGTGGCTTCTTCCTGTGACCTCTGTTTGGGACCCCCATCATCCTATTGTCACTTCTCTCAGCCCTCACATATTTGCACTCGAACATTTTTTTGCACATAGCGATAGCTAATCTTCTGAGTATAAATGCCAGGATAACCCATGGGGTTATGGTGAGGCTTGAGGAAAATAGAAAACAGTATTTTTGACCCCTTCATTAGTCTTAGCAACTACTCAAATCAGTAAAGTGAACATTTTAAAAAAGAATGTTAATGTTTTCACTTATTTGTGGAGCATAACAAATAACATGGAGGACATAGGGAGATGGAGAGGAGAAGGGAGTTGAGGGAAATTGGAAGGGGAGGTGAACCTTGAGAGACAATGGACTCTGAAAAACAATCTGAGGATTTTGAAGGGGTGGGGGGTGGGAGGTTGAGGGAGCCAGGTGGTGGGTATTAAGGAGGGCACGTATTGCATGGATCACTGGGTGTGGTGCAAAAAACAATGAATTCTGTTACGCTAAAAGAAATTAAAAAAAAAATATATATATATATAAAAGAATGTTATCATTATCAGAGTTCATGTTAGGTTTAAGTCTATAATTTTTCAAAAACCTGCAGAAATAACAGTGGCTTAAACAAGGTTGCAGATCATTTCTCTCTCACCTGAAAGTCCTGAGGTAGATGGTCTGCAGCTAATGAGAAGATTCCACAGTGTTCACACCAGGGCTCCTGCTGTCTTGCTGCTCTGCTGTCTTCATGTGTTATCTCATGGCCCAGGATGGTGGCTTGAGCTCCAGCTATCGTTTCTGCATTCCAGTCTACAGGGAGGAAGGAGGATAGAAGGGGTCATACTAACTTTTATAAGTAAAATTCTAAGTGCCTTGCAGTGTTTTTCATTATATCTCATGGCTCAACCATTGGTCATGTGGACATGATGCACATTGCTGTAGCATGGAAATTTGGGGGTTATTTCTAAAGAGGCACAGAGTAAATGACTGTTGGTGTAGGTTATCAGTCTTTACCATGAGAATTCTTCATTAAAACTCCCAAGTTTTTAGGTTGCAGACATGTTCTTATGTGGCCAGTTTCCACTAAACTTTTTGGGGGGCTCCCCAGATGAGCACAATGCTCATACCTACCTTTGCATTGCTTTGCAAGACCCAGGGAGGGACTCAGGTGTACCCTGCAGTCTTATTGGACCTGAATGTATAGGTAATTATGTGTATGCTGTTCCCTCTCCCCTCACATCTGCCCTGTGAGTAGGACAGATGGACAGTTGTTCTTATAGATGTGGTAAGTGAGGTTCAGGAGAGTTCAGGAGGTTAATCCAAGATTGAGCAGCATATTGGTGGAGGAAACTGGGATTCTATCTCTGAGGTTTGGCACCAAAACTATATGTGGTCCCTGACTTTTGAGAGGCATGGTGACCTGGAAGATTCTTGGCAGAGAACCTGGACAGTGCTGACCATCTTCCTTACCACATAGTGGGAGTCACTGAGGGGGAGGCAGTCTTTCTCGGAGTTGGGAACAGATAACCGTGGGGAGAGGCCAGTATACAGGGACCCTTCAGGAAGGCCTGTGGTCAGCACTGCCAGATCTCTGAGGAAGTCCATCAGCTGTGGACATTGAAGTGGTGAGCTGTCCAGGCTGGCAAAAGAGTGACCTGGATTCCAGGGTAGACAAGCTCAAGGAGGCTGAAATTATAACTAGCTACTAAGACCCGCATTTTTACAGGTAACTATCACCAGATAAAGTAATCTGTATTTTCCCTGCCCTCCCCCTTTTTAAATCATTAAGCACATTGGTTGTTTAACTCTTTTTTTGCTTTCAAAGGGCTGCTCAGTTTTTACGGAAAATGGCAGACCCACAGTCCATCCAGGAATCACAAAATCTGTCCATGTTCCTGGCCAACCACAACAAAATCACACAAGTAAGGCTCGTACTCTTGCTGCTCTGGCTGATGGGACGCATTGCTGGGGTCTGGGGTCCCAGGAACAGTCCCTGCCATGGATCTCACACTCTGTGTTTCAGTCGTTGCAGCAACAGCTTGAAGTGATTTCTGGCTATGAAGAGCTTCTCGCTGATATCGTGAATCTGTGTGTGGATTACTACGAGAATAGGATGTACCTGACACCCAGCGAGAAACACATGCTTCTCAAAGTACGTGTGTGGGCATGACTGCTTACATCACTGTAGAGAGAAGAGGCTGTGCTTTGATTATGATCCTTTTGCCAACCTTTTTTTATTCTCATGCTTGCCGTGTGTGTGTGTGTGTGTGTGTGTGTGTGTGTGTGTACACAGTATCTTCTCTGGTGCCCACAGCATGCACTACAGGCTCTCAACACATTCCTGTGACTGTGTCTCAGGCTTGACCCCAGTGCCAGTTGGGATCATATGCCACCCTCTGGAAAATGTGCCCATGGGTAAGGAGGTCTGGGGTCAAGGGCTTTTCTCAGCTTCTTATAGCAGAGGTTACCTCAGGTTCTGCTTGTTAAGGATATGATTCTTAGGAATTAAGAATACTATGTCTCCATGATTATTGTAGACTCTTTTTGGTCAAGAACATGGCCATTCACCATATTGGAGAGGTTTTCTTTTCTTTTCTTTCTTTTTCTTTTCTCTTCTTTTCAAGAGTTTACCTATTTATTTGAGTGAGATAGAGGGAGAGAGCGAGAGATCACATTCAGGGGGGGAGGATAGAGGGAGAAGCAGACTCCCCACTGAGCAAGGGAGTCCGATGCAGGACTCAATCCCAGGAACCCGGGATCATGACCTGAGCTGAAGGCAGGTGCTTTAACTGACTGAGCCACCCAGGTGTCCTGGGGAGGTTTCAGTGACATTTCTTACTGGAAAGAGGAGAAGCCAGTTCTGCCATTGCATTTGTTCTGCTTTCTACCTTTGGGGAGAATAGCCCTGAAGGACCTTGTGCCAGGTGTCCTGTCAGCCCAAAACCTTCCATGTAAGAGTGGGCCCAACCCAGTATCTCTTCCTGCAGGAGAGCACCGTGCTGGAGGGCACTGTCTAGTGGAGCACTCTGTGACGGTAGAAATTGTCTGTGCCATCTGAGCAGGAGCCTCTGGCCATGAATGTTTATGGAAATCCACATTTAGTATTGCATTTGCTTGATGAGAGGTGGAGGTGGTGTTTGTGCCCGGGGAGGACTTTAAAATAGCCGCAAGAAATGACGCACATAGAAGAATAGCTTCATATGAAGGGGTAGCTATTTATTTATAAGGAACTTGTGAAAATGCTTTTTGAAAGAAGAGTGAACTCTCATTTATGATCTTAAGGGTAGTTAAACTTGCAGGGCTGAGTTTTTTGTGCCATTTTGTGATTTTCAGGTTATGGGGTTCGGTCTATACTTGATGGATGGAAGTGTCAGCAACATCTATAAACTTGATGCCAAGAAAAGAATAAACTTATCCAAAATCGATAAGTACTTCAAGGTGAGTTACATTTTTTTAGATAAGCCTTTTTATCAAGTGTGAACAATTTGAATTTTGGGAGGTAAATTCTGTGACCCACATCTGGAAATGTGGGCATAGGCAGCAGGGATGGGGGACGTTACTGGCTTCTGTCTGCAAAGGGGGCCATCCTCCCTCCTGTTCTGTATCAGTTTTGCCTGGGTTTGAACCTTGTGTAAAGGGAATCATGGCTATGTGTATTCTTTTGCATCCGGCTACTTTCACTCATTCATTAAATTCATCCCTGTGAGATCCCGCAGCTATAGATAGTCCTTAGGTTTTCTTCGTGGTGTCCATTTTATGATAACACCTCAATTTATTTATCCAGTCTGTTCTGATGAACATGAGGTCATTTCTAAGTTTTGGCTGGCACAAACAATGCTGCTTTGATTAGTGCACGTCTGTGCATGTTTCTGTTGAACATATGTATATCCAGGGCTAGGATTAGGGGCCACAGGCATATATATTTTCAGTGTTAGATACAGCCTAACAACTGCTGATTTGCATTCTCACCACTCCACATCCTCACCAACACTTGGCACTGTCACTCTTTTGGGAAAGAGCATCCTGAAGAGCATCATTGTGATATTTTTGGCTGGTATTTCCTTGTGTTTTAGTTGATATTTCCCTGGTGACTTTTCACTCTATTAGTGTTTTGTGTGTTGTCTTGTGAAGTGTCATTTCAAGTTTCTTTATGTATTCAGGTACGTGTTATTTGTTGGGTTCATGTGTTCTAAAATACATGCATTCTGCCCTATGTGGCTCTCCTTTTCACTTTCTTAAGAGTGTCTTAAGTGAACAAAAGTTCTTAATTTTATTGTAGTCTAGTATATCAATCTTTAATATCTACTTTTTTAAAAAAGATTGATGTATTTATTTTATTAAGTGAGCACGTGAGAGCAGGAGGAGGGACAGAGAGAGAGGGAGACAAGCAGACTCCCTACTGAGTGGGGAGCCCAAGGTGGGGCTTGATCCCAGGACCCTAAGATCATGACCTGAGCTGAAACCAAGAGTCAGATGCTTGACTGACTGAGCCACCCAGACATCCCTTTAATATCCACTATTAGAAATCTTTGTATAGGGCAGGCTTATGAGAATTTCCTTCTTATTACCTTCTAGAAACAGCACCATTTCCTTTTCTATCTAGATCTATACTCCTTCTCGACCTGACCTCTATGTATGATGTGAGGAACAGGGGTTGACATTTTTAGATCTTTTTCTTTTCCCCATTATGGGCATCCAGGTGACTTAATGTATACAAGGTCTCTGGTAACAGAACAGATCTGCTTATCAGAAAACCTTCAAGTTACATTCTTCACGATTGTCTTGGGTGTCATCCCTTTACTGTTCAAATAAATTGGCTTGCTGATTTCCATATACACACACATATATACACACTACCCATAAACCATTTTTCTTCTTGGAATATTGTTTGGGCTTCCATAGATCAATTCCATAGCTCAATTTTGGGAGTAGAATACAAAGTCTTCTAATCCATGAACCTGATATATTTCTCCATTCACTTAGAACTTCAAAACTTTCTCTAGAATTTTTGGTAGTATTTTTGTTTAGAGGTCTTGGCCATATTTTGTTAGATTTATTCATACATATTTATAGTTTTTTTAAAAATTCTATTACAAATTGTTTCTCTCTCTCTCCTTTTTTTTTTTTTAAGATTATTTATTTATTGATTTATTTATTTGAGAGAGAGAGAAGGACCAGGGGGAAGGGGCAGAGGGAGAAGCAGAATCCCCACTGAGCAGTGAGCCTGACCTGGGGCTTGATCCCAGGACTCTGGGATCATGACCTGAGCCAAAGGCAGCCACTTAACTGACTGAGCCACCCAGGTGCCCCAAATTGTTTCTCTTTAGATTTTCATTTTCTATTTGGTACTAGTATATAGAAATGCAATTGATTTTTTTTTTAATGACCATGGGTCTAGCAGCAAGGTAAATTAATTTTAATGTTTGAATTGGTTTTATGAATATTGGTTCTACAGTTGTATATGGTCCTTCTTAAAGTGAATATGTAAGTTCCTTACAATTTTTTTCTAGTAAATGATTTACAGAGATAGTGTTCAGCACATAGTAATTACCAGCATTACTCAGTCTTGTGATGGTATTTGGTGACTAAACATACATAGTGACCTTATTTTTTTTGTTCTTTAAATATAGCAGCTCCAGGTGGTTCCACTGTTCGGGGACATGCAAATAGAACTGGCAAGATACATCAAGACCAGCGCCCACTATGAGGAAAATAAATCTCGGTAGGAGGAGAGTGAGCTGTCCAGTTGGAACATTCTGCAATGTTCTCATTGTGGTTTTATAACACTTACTTATCTAGAGAGAACACCTTTGACATTTTTAACCATCTGGAACCAAATGCCCCATATGGTAGGCCTTGTCACTGGTGACTGCTTACATTTAAATTCATTAAAAATTTTTTTTAATTTTCTTGGTTAAAACATCCACATTTCAAATGTTCGGTAGTGGCTACCGTGTTGGACAGCACAGATACAGAGCTTTTCCATCATCTCAGAGAGTTCTGTTGGGTAGAATGAGTTGAGAATATACAAGCTCAAAAGTATTGTGCTGGTAAATGCCTAACAACTAGCCCTGCTGGGGGCATGAGGACATTTGCATTTATATCACAGAGATTATAAAACTATCACCTAAGGGCCAAATCCAGTCCAGGGCTGTTTTTGTAAGATCTCAGTTGCTTTGAATGGTGTTTATATTTTTAAGGGGTTTTTTAAAAAATAAATAAATAAATAAATAAATAAAAAGAAGACAATGGCTGTGTGACTGAGACAAATAGCCTGGAAATTCTGAAGTATTTATTTACTTTCTGGTCCTGTAGAGAGAGAGTTAGCCCGTCATTGTCATAAAGGATCCTTGGCTCACAATTACAGATGATAAAAAACGTACCATTATTTTTCTGGAGATTCCACATAGCCAGCTGAGTCTTGCAGGGTGCTTTTGTTGACCCTTGTCAAACACGTGTATCTGTAGCCAACCAACAGTTGCAATTCAGCCATGATTTTGAAAAATGCAGTTACATCTCAGTCTGCCTACTCAGATGTCAGCCAAATTTTTTTTTTTTAAATAAACGCTGAATTGTAAACACTTTAAGCCTTTGCAGGCCACATGTGGTATCTGTCATATAGTCTTCTTTGCTGTTGTTGTGGTTTTCTTTTTTTAAACAATGAAAATATAAGTACCATTTTACATGACTCTAGGGCCATACAAATGCAGGTTGTATTTGGCCTGTGCTGAAGTTTGCTGAGCTCTGTCCTAGCTTATTTCTTAATAAATCTGCCTTTAAATCCAGTTAGGTGATTTCTCATTCTCCTCTAAGTTACATTCATTAAACTGAAACCTCTTTCTGCTTCAGCACCAATTTAAGCTCTGCTTTCCATGATGTAAATACCCCTGCCATGACTGACTGCAAGCTAACAATGTGACATCTCTAGTACATCTCCTTACACAGTGCTTCTAGCCTAACACAGATGAGCTCTAGATGATAGGTAATGGCAAAACCAGTAAGAGAATCAGGAAACAATGAGTTTTGCATTCTTATTTGGACGTTTTTGATATGAGTCAATAGCATTTAATTGGTGGTAATGGGTATGTTTAACAGCCACCTTGGGATGGGACTGAGCATGTAGCAGTCAGCTTTGAGAGCCCAGCCCAGCAGCCCTGCACCAGCATCTGGGTCCAGAAGGGGTGGTCAGAGGGTGCAGTGTCAGCAGTCAAGTTCTGGGCTGCAGGGCCTTGCCAGAGGTAGACATGCTTTTGGGAGCCTGCATGGGTGGCAGGTATATGGAGGACGGAATCCATTATAGAATCTGGGCCTCAGATGCTCGTTGTAGACTCGGAGCCACCTTGGATGCTGCCGACATAATCATTGCATCATCCTACAGTTGAATCAGAAAGTAAGAAAGGGATGCAGCTTGAGACAATGTACCCATTATTTTGACAAGGGATAACCTGCATCCCTTCTCTTCAAGCAAAGAGGACCAGCTCATTAAAAACATGGCGAGAGTGTTGGTGTTGAGTGTGAGGGAACAATGGTCAGAGCCCCAAAGCCCATGCTTTCTGCCTGAGACCTCCAACAGCTTTAATTGTTAATAAGCTTCTTTTTTTTTTTTTTAAAGATTTTATTTATTTGACACAGAGAGTAAGATCACTAGTAGGCAGAGAGGCAGGCAAAGAGAGAGGGGGAAGCAGGCTCCCTACTGAGCAGAGAGCATGACGCAGGCCTCGATCCCAGGATGCTGAGACCATGACCCGAGCTGGAAGGCAGAGGCTTAACCCACTGAGCCACCCAGGTGCCCTGTTAATAAGCTTCTTTTCTACTAAATTGACTATCTGTTTGCTGCTGAAGTGGTGTGTTGTGCACATAAGTAGTTATGGCAACACTGTCTAACTTCCAAGTAATGGCAGTTTAGAGTTCCCCATAAGGGTAACTTTTCTGAGTCTTTGGCAGACTTGTTTTCTGCTATAGCTTATGTTTTCATATGTGAGCAATAAAAGATAGGAGTTAGGAGTTAAGGGGCCCTTCCTTGCAAGGGTGATGTAGCAACAGCTCTTAGCTTTTTTGAAAGAAGTTGGCTGATTAAGGAGAAATTACAATTCCTTTTCCAAAACACAGATTGAGAAGGTAGGACAGTGGCTCCGACATAGGGGAATGGGGCTGGCCCAGCTGTTTCTTTGCTGAGAATTCATGTTCTCTCCAAGCCTGGCCAGGGTACAGGACCAGTGGGCCATCCTGTGTGCCTGCTATGCCTGTGTCCCCAGACACCCCGCATTGTGAAGCATGAATCTTCTGCAGGCACCTCTTCAGGTAACACACATTTCCCCTTCACTGCCAGATGGACGTGCACATCATCCAGCAGCAGCCCGCAGTACAACATCTGTGAGCAGATGATCCAGATCCGGGAGGACCATATGCGATTCATCTCAGAGTTGGCACGCTACAGCAACAGCGAGGTAAGTGGGCCTTCAGTGCCCATCTGTGCCAGTACTTAAGGCCAGAGGTGTGTGAGAACCTTTGGCTGGATGGGAAGGTATATCCTCGGTGCCCAGAGGAGGAGGGCCTGGAGTTGGGGCTAGGAGGAAGCACTGTCTCTTAGCTATGGGTCTTTTTAACTCTTTCCAGCTTGGCAGCTGGGTTTTCTGTGCCCTTGTTTGGGCTGGTCACATTCTCTCTACCTGCCAAACACAGCTCCAGGCCAGCCCTGCCAGCTTGTGGGGTAGACAGGAGGGGGGAGTTCTGAGTGCAGAGGAGCAGTGGGAATGTCATTTCTCACATGTGAGCGGGCAGGGCAGCGAGGTCAGGGATGTGGCAATGATCCACGGTATGTGTGCTACACAGAGTCTTAGAGGGACCTGGAGACTTGAGACCACATACATACCTCTCTGGTCTTTGAGAATCTGGTACCTCAAGATTCTCAGTAGGGTCATTAACATTTTGAGGGAAAAGTTCTGTGTGTTGGCCCCATCCATTTCAGGATGATGAGCTCCCCTATCCCTCAGCCAGCAAACACTAGCCATCATGTAACCAGAATGACTGGAAGACAGTCCAAATGGTTCAGAGCACACGCTAGCTCCAAGCAGATCTCTGGTGCCCCCAGGAGGAGGTGCTGTCTCACTGTTTCCCCAGCTGACAGCACAGCCCACAGGGTGGAGACGGAGGCAGGGGCTGTGCTGATGTAATTGAAAACCGAATTTGTGGGAAGCTCTCAGACAGCATGTAGAGTTGATTTCTACGCTTAAAATAGGTGTGTCTGACAGCGCATATGGCTCCTGATGTCTGCTATAATACCTTTATAATTAAGATAATAGTTTTAATAAGAAAAAAAGAGATCTTTGAATGCTCTGCTCAGTTTACTTTTAAACAGGTTTATGGGGATTTAATCCACATACCATACAATTTGCCCATTTAAAATGTATAATTCAAAGGTTTTTGTTTATTCACTGAATTGTTTACCACCACAGTCCATTATTGGAACATTTTCATTACACCCAAAAGCAACTCTGTACTCATGTGCTTCTGATCTCTATATAGATCAGAGGTTCCAACCACCCCCTTTGGGTTTTCCATGTGTCTTATGGAGATCAGGGCTCTTTTTTTTTTTTTTTTTCCAAAAGCTACATTTTACTAGGGCTCTTTTTAAACATGACTGGAAGGCAGCTATGCTCACCACTATACCACCAACGCTAAACATGACTATAATAGCATTATCACACCTAAAAAAAAAAAAATTCAGATATTCTTTAATATCAGAGTCATTGTTCAGTTTCCTCTGTTGAGTCACGGATGGTTTTATTTTTCCAACTTGATTTGTCTCAGGATCCACATGAGTATTATACACTGTAGTTGATTAGTGACACATCTTTGAAGATGTGTCCCTTCTCCATCCCTCTTGCTCCCTGTGGGGTCCTTTGGTGTGACTTCTGTCTTCTGTGCTTCTTCTGCATGGGTGATTAGATCTGGAGGCCTGATCAGACTCTGCTTCCATCCTCTCAGTGCAGCTGGGCCTTCATTGGTGGTGCTGCAGACTACTAGAGCGTCTGGCTGTCTCTCTTTGGAGTGTGGACAGCCATCGTCCATTGCCAAGTATATGATTCATTAGGGCTGCAACATGATGGTCTTCTAGTCCTTTCATTCCTCAGCTCCTCCTCTAACAGCTGAGCCTTTCTCTGCAGTATGATTCCTTCAGGAGAGAGAGTCAGAGCTGGATTCTATTGCTATGTGTATCAGTTTTTCAAATAATTGATTCTCTAGCATTATCTAAGGTAAACTTTTTGGAGTACTCTTTTAAAATTCATCTACTTTGTTTCTTTCCTCCCCCCCCCCCCCACCTGCTTTCATGCTGAGAATCCTGGTTCCTAAATGACTACAGGATATTTTGACTTGATATCTTAGTATACACTTAGCAGTCTTAAAATAGCAATACCAATGCTAATAACAATATAATTACTAGAAACAATATAATTATATATTGTAATATATAACATTACAGTATTATGATGACAATATAATTACTAAAAGTTGTTTTTAAATTTATTTTGTAAGTTAATTTTGCCCTTAGAATTTCTCCCTCTAGGGATGGAGAACAAATCATTGGTTCCTTTCTCTTTCTTTCTTTCTTTCTTTTCTTCCTTCCTTCCTTCCTTCTTTTAAATCATTGTTTTTCAAAGTCCCTTGAAGTGGTTTGTTTTGTGTTGGTCTCAGCCTACTGATAGTGATGACTGAAGGACTCATCTATCTTTGGCAGCCCCCATAGACATTTCCCTAAGCGGAGCCAATATTGTGGCTGGACAGGTCCTTGTGGTTCTTATTGTGCTTGCAAGATGTACCTCAGCAACAACCATCAGGGCATTTTGAAAAAAAGAAGGATCATTACTTATAAATTCTGGAAGGCACATGGCATGCCTAGAGCCACAAAGCGAAGTGGTGCTAGAGAAGGCATGTTGATCTGGGATTCCGCCTTTACTGGGGCTCAGGGTGGGGTACGTAGGATTTCATGGACTTATTCTTCATTGGCACATTTCAAACATAAAAGCAGGAATTAGGGCACTAAAGTGGGGTCATTCAAGTGATGTTATCTAGGTCAACCAGAGCTTTCTAAGAGGGGAGCTTCATAGATGGGACTGCCTGGCTCTTTATCTATTTGTATAGCTGGCACTCTGTTTATTCTAGATGGATGTCCTTGAAATGGATGCCTCAGCAATCAAAAGTTTAATGCCAGGCACTTACTGTAATCAAAAAAGCTTGTTGTTAGGTACCTGTACTACATTGTTCTTCAGCGCGGTCATGAACCCAATTCAGTATACACTTTAATTCATGCTTTCATTTTGCTTCTGAGTTTTAGGGATTGTTTGTGTCCCATAATTTAATTTTATATCATAATTATATTAAATATTTATGTGGTTCCAAACTCAGATGTACAATAGGAGGTATATTCAAAGAAATCTGCTTTCCTTTCTACCCTACACCTTCCTGCCCTTTAGGTAACCATTCTTAATTATAAGTTTTGCATTTTTTGATATAAGCAAATGCACATGATGTGGCATGTTTTCCTTTATTAGCTAAGTAGAAGAGTAACTATGCACATGGTTCTCTTAACAGCATGTCCTAGAGATCCCTCCAGCACAGTCTGCAGAGACATTCTCGGAGAACTACAGAATGTCTATTGTCAAGGCTCTGCTGTTACCAGCCTTTTGCTGTGGTAAAGGCTCCTATGCCCCTGTCATCATAATTTTGCAGATGCACCTTTCCGGCAGATTCCTAGTGGATTTGCTAGGTCATGGGGTAAATGCCTAACTGGTTTTTCTAGATATAGGGTGACTTCTCGATGCTCCTCTGGTGCTCTAGGTTGTCACAGGGTCGGGCCGCCAGGAGACTCAGAAGACAGACACTGAGTACCGGAAGCTGTTTGACCTGGCACTTCAGGGCCTGCAGCTGCTGTCGCAGTGGAGTGCTCATGTGATGGAAGTGGTAGGCACTCTGTACTTGTTTTTCTTTGGAAATGCGGAGATCTGGAAGAAATCTACCCTGGTTGATTAGAAGTGCTTTTCCCAAAATCATCCAAGAAATTGACTGGTATTTTTTCTGCATTAACTTCGGTCTTTGGATCAAGAACAAATTGACTTTTTATCTTTGATCCCAGGAATAAAAAATTCTGTATCACTATAAATGTTTCTTAGGTGGCTCAAAGTACATTTCATTTATGTGTGTTACAAATAAAGGGCCTCACCTTTTAAACCATATAGACAGAATTTGTACCATTATGATGATTTTTAATTCTCAGTTTTAAAAAATGTTTTCTCTATAGAGTTCCAGCCATTGGTTTTTGTTTAGCATTAGTAAAATAGTTTCTTGGAGATTTGGATACTTGTAAGTCATAGAAGATTTTTCCTTTTGTTGTTTATTTTGACCAGATAAAAATTACTAAGCTGAATGAGTATGTGATCATTGGAAAGGATGATATTTTTTTTTATGATTTTTTTTTTTTTTTTTTTAGTCTTTGGATATGCAACACAAAATATCCAGGACATTTTACCCTACGTATTTCTTAAACCTGAAGTCATGGTGCCAGACTGTCTTGCAGTTTTATGGAGAAGGGCTTACTGTGTGAATGTATGTGTGTGTCGTGTATGTGTGTGCATGCATGTATGTGTGTGATTTTCAGATGCAGCTAATATTAGAAGGCTGAGCTTTGGTCACTTTGGTGATAGTCATGTCAGTATGACCAGAATGTAAGCATTTTGCATTCCGTGTGCCTCTTTCCGCCTTTCTGACCACAACAGTATTCATGGAAACTTGTGCACCCAACGGACAAGTACTCCAACAAGGACTGTCCCGACAATGCTGAGGAGTATGAGCGTGCCACCCGCTACAACTACACCAGTGAGGAGAAGTTTGCCCTGGTGGAAGTACGGTTTGCTTTCTTTTCCTCCTTTTGCTCTCACCTCAGACTATCTTCCCATTCAAAGCAAAGGCAAAAACTTGAGTAAAATTCAGTGCACAGTTTCATGTTGTCGTTTCTGTGTAAGGCAGCCCTCTGCATCTTTCTTAGTTGCCAGCAGAACAATGAAATAGAATGTAGGTTCCTGGTCTCTGCACTGATGGCTCCTCTGGGTAGATCAGGGGTGCACTCACAGGTGTCCAGGAGTGGGGCATATCTTCTTGATTGGGAGAGAAGAGGAACAGGATGTAACCCTGGTACCCTGAGAGAGAGAAGCCCCCATATTTCCAACTGTTAGCACCAAGTTCTTTGCTCTCACATATGTTGGCTCTGGCTCCCTCAGCTCTGTACTGTATTCATGGGCCTTTTTTATGAATAGATAATTTCCATGCCATTGAGTTTCTTTTATAGTTGGACTTTGTCTTGTTTAAGAAAACTTTGCATACCCTAAGGTTATAATTCCTCTCCACCACCTTCTGAATGTTTTATTATTCTGGCTTTCACATTTAGATCTGAAGTGCACCTAAAGTTAGTTTTTCTTTTTCCTTTTTTTTTTTAAGTTTGTTTATTTATTTAAATTATCTCTACACCCAACGTGGGGCTTGAACTCACAACCCCAAGATCAAGAGTCATACCCTCTTCTAACCAAGCCATCCATGTGTCCCCCGAAGTTAGTTTTTAAAACACTCTGCCTCCACTGCTCTCTCTCACCTCTGTTGTCAGTTATGTAACCATTCATGTATGGATGTGTTTTTTTCACTGTTCTAATCTATTGGTCAGTTGGTCTATCCTTGTTCTCATGCCCCTCTGTCTTAATTACTATAGCTGATTCTGTGTCTGGTAAAGTAAGCTTTTCTGTCTTCAAGAGTTCCTTGGTTATTCTTGCTATTTGTATTTTCATATACATCTTAGAATGATTTTTTCATATCTCACAGTGAAATCTGTTGAAATTTTTAATGTGGATATGAATAAACATATAGGTCATTTTAGGGAGAATTGATAAATTTAGAATATTAAGCCTTTTATGAACATGGTATATCCCTCCATTTATTTAGATTCTCTTTAATTTCTCTTTTATAATCTGTAAAATTCTTAAACTTCTTTTGTTAGCTTTATTTCTAGGCATTTGGGTATTAGATGATAATGTTTTAAGTTTTTTCTAAATGTTTGTCATTGCTATTTAGAATGAAAATTATTTTTCATATTTTTTTCTTTTTTTTGTATTTTTTTTCAGATATCTACCAACCTGTCTAAACTATTTGTTAATTGTAACAAATTATCCATTGGATTTTCTACCAATATAATAATCATCTGAAAATGATGGCAGTTTAATTTGTCCCAACTTTCCGTTTTTATTTTTTTAATCACAAGGGGTCAGACCCCTATTTGTTAAATAGGAGGCACCAGCTATCCTTGTCTTGTTCTTCATCTCAAAGGGAAAGCTTTCAACCTTTCACCTAATGTATTTGCTATAGGTTTTTTTTTCTTTTTTAATTTGAGAGAGAGAGCACAAGCAGGGGGAAGGGCAGAGGAGGGAGAGGGAAAAGCAGACAACCCGCTAAGCAGGGAGGGCCTGATGAAGGGCTTGATCCCAGAACGCCAGGATCATGATCTGAGCCCAAGGCAGATGTGTCACCGACTGAACCACCCAGGCGCACCTTGCCGTAGGTTTCTTATAGCCAACTTTCATCAGATAAAGGAGCTTGCCTTCCATTCCTTGTTTGCTAAGAGATTTTATTATGAGTTGATATTAATTCTATTAAACACTTTGTATCCAGTAAAGTACTTCTGTGAGTTTTTCTCTTTTATTCCATTAATGTGGTGAATTTACACTGATTGTGGGTTTTCTTTTTCCCCCCATTTTTTTTTTTTTTTAAATCAGGTTTGATGTTAAGGTCGCCTTGCATTCCTGGTCTAAACTCAACTCAATCATGACAGATTATCCTCTTTATATATTGTTGGATATAGTTTGCTAGTATTTTGCTTAGGACTTTTATATCAAACTTGATGAGTGAGAGTGTCTTTTACTGTCACTTTTTTAAATAAACCTTTTATTTTAAAACATTTTTAGATTTACAGAAAAATTGCAAAGATGGTACAGTGAGTTCCTATCTATCCCACAGCCATTTTTCTTTATTGTTAACATTTCACATTAGTGTCATTATAATGAATAAACCAGTATTGTACATTATTATTAACCAAAGTCCATACTTTATTCGTATTTCCTCAGTCTTTCCATAATGTCTTAGTTCTGATCTAAGATCCCACATTACATTAAGTCATCATATCTCCTTAGGCTCATCTGGGTTGTGAGTTTTTCAGACTTTCTTTGTTTTGGATGACCTTGACAGTTTTCAGGAGCGCTGGTCAGGTATTTTGTCAGATGTTTCTCTGTTGGTATTTTTGTGACTTTTTCTCATAATTAGATTGGAGTTACAGGTTTGGGGAAGTTGGACCACGGAGGTGTGAAGCATCATTTCCATCACATCACATCAAGAATACATACTGTTGACAAACTCATCACAGTTGGTATCGACCTTGCTCATCTGGCCAAGGAAGTATTGTCAGGTTTCTCTATTAGGAAGTTCCCCTACATCTTCCTCTCTCCTTTCCCCTTTTCATAGTGTACTTTAGAGAAGGAAATTACTGCACACAGCAACACCTGTGTAGAGTAACATTTTTTTTTTTACTTCTATTTGCTATTTATTTATTCATTTATTTATTTTTGTTTAAGTATAATTAACATACACTGTCATTAGTTATAACTTTCCATTCTAGTTTTCTGGTTGTTGGCTTCATAAAACAATTCATAGGGGGCTCCCTTTTTGTATTGTCTGAAGGGGTTTGTATAAGGTTCATGTTACTTCTTCTTTCAATGTTTGCTAGTATTTACTAGTAAAGTTTTCCCTTTATGAGATGGTTTTTGAAACATTCAGTTTCTTTACCATGTACATTTTCTCTTTCTATTTGTATCAGTTTTGTTAAGTTGTATTTTCAGGCATGGTAAGTTACATTTTCAGGAAATTTTCCGAGAATCTTAAAATTTTCTAACATTTGTCATAAAGTTTTTCAAAATAAATTCTCATCTTATTTTAGTAACAGTTGTTTTTTTTTTCTACACAGTATACAATTAACCTGCTTGAAGTACAAAAATTCAGTGCCTTTTTAAAATATATATTCACAGAGTTGTACAATCACAATCAAATTTAGGACATTTTTATTATGTCACAAAGAAACTTCACACCCATTAGCATTCACCCCCAGTTCTCCTCTCCCTTCAGCCCTAGGCAGCTGCCAGTCTGCTTTGTGACTATAGATTTGCTCATTCTGAACACCTCATATAAATGAAATTCTACAATACGTGGCTAATTATGATTGGCTTCTTTCACTGAACATCATGTTTTCAGGATTCACACATGTATCAGTATTTTATTCTTTCCATTGCTGGATCCCATTCCATTGAATGGCTGTATCACATTTTATTTACTTTTTAGCTGATTTTTTAGTTTGGTTGTTTCTACTTTTCTATTAAGACTAATGCTTCTGGGACGCCTGGGTGGCTCAGTTGGTTAAGCGGCTGCCTTTGGCTCAGGTCATGACCCCAGTGTTCTGGGGTCGAGTCCTACATCGGGTTCCTTGCTCGGCAGGGAGCCTGCTTCTCCTTCTGCCTCTGCCTGCCACTCTGTCTGCCTGTGCTTGCTCTCTCCCTCTCTCTCTCTGACAAATAAATAAATAAAATCTTAAAAAAAAAAAAGACTAATGCTTCTATTAACTTTTGTATACTAGTTTTTATGAATGCATGTTTTTATTTCTTTTCAGGATACATCCAGTAGTAGAAGTGCTGGGTCATATGGTAACTCTATTTATTTAACATTTTGAAAAACTACTGGATGGGTTTTCCCAAGTGGCAGCACTATTTTATATTCCTACCAATAGTGTATGAGGCTTCTACTTTCTCTGAATCTTCAGCAACACTTGTTATTGTCTGTCTGATTGATTCTAGCCATCCTATCACATGTGAAATGTATCTCATTATGATTTTATTCACATTTTCCTAAAAACTATGATGCTGAGCATATTTTAATATGCTTATTGGCAATTTATATATCTTCTTTGGAGAAATGTTTATTCAGATCTTTTGTTCATTTTTTAATTGGATTATTTATCTTATTAAGTTCTCTGTGTATTCTAGATAAGAGCTTCTTTTCAGACATATGATTTATATTCTTTTCTTCCATTCTTTGATTGTCTTTTTACTTTATTAATGGGGTCCTTTGAGCATAAAGTCTTTAATTTTTATTATGTTCAGTTTACCTGTTTTTTTTTCTTTTGCTGTTTGTGCTTTTGATATTATATCTAAGAAGCCATTTCCCAACCCAGGTAATGAAGATTTACTCTTACGTTTTTTTCTAAGAATTTTACAGTTTTGCCCCTTCAGTTTAAATGTGTGATTCATTCTGAGTTAATTTTTCAGTATGGTATGAGGTAGGGACTATGTTAGAGATTCCTAAAACTGCTCTCAGGCTTGATTTGCTAGAGGGACTCACAGGACTGAGTAGCTGTTCTACTTGAGGTTATAATTTATTACAGTGAAAGGAGACAGATTTAAATCAGCAAAAGGTACATGGGCGAAGTCCAGGAGAAACCAGCTGCAAACTTCTGGGAATCCCGTACTAGTGTACTTATGCAGGATGTGCTTAATTTTTCCAGCAGAGAAGGGTGGCAACACATGGAAAGTGTTGCCATCTAGGGAAGCTTACCCAAGATCTTAGTGTCCAGGTTTTTTTATTGGGGGTCAGTACTGTTGGCATGCAACACAACTTCGTGATTGACTTGGGCTACTCAAGACTCCAGACTCCCAGTGCAAATATAGCTGTTCACCATAAATTACATTATTGTCATAAACACTGGTATTGCAGTGGTCCAGAGCCTTGGGTGTACGCAGATACTTTTTTCAGGCAGGATAGTCCCAGGGCTGAGAGCTCAGTTCCTTGGAGCTGGCCAAGGGCCAGTCCTGAAAACAGGCCTTTCCTCGGTATATGGAGGGTTTGATCATCCCAGGCCTCACCAGTTAACCCGGTCCTGCACAGGAGACCAACTTCATTGTTTGCATGTGGATACTGTTTGTTGAAAAAATAATATTTCTCTGTTGAATTGTTTTCACACAGTTGTTGAAAATCAGTTGACTGTAAATGTCTGTTTCTATTCCATTGATCTGTATGTTTATCCTATGCTGATATAGTCACATAATCTCTTACTACCTGTAAACTCTGTGACAATGCCCCCCTTTTTATTCTTAATGTTTGTAGTTTGTGCCTTTGCCTGTGTTTTTCTTGATTAGTCCCTCGGGAAAGTTGTCAATTCTATTATTTACTTATTTTTTTAAACAGCTTTATTTTTGTTGATCACCTTTTTTTTTTTTTTTAAGATTTTTTATTTATTTATTTGACAGAGAGAAAGAGAGACGGCAAGAGAGGAAACACAAGCAGGGGGAGTGGGAGAGGGAGAAGCAGACTTCCCACTGAGCAGGGAGCCCAGTGTGGGGCTTGATCCCAGGACCCTGGGATGGTGACCTGAGCCACCCAGATGCCCTTGTTGATCACCTTCTATGATATGCTTGTTTTCTGTTTTGTTAATTTTTACTTATCAGTATTTATTTCCCTCTAGTTTGGGGAAGGTGTATTTTCCTGTTCATTTTACAGGTTTATGATGACTGTTAGATTATTATTCAGACTTTTTGTTTCCTATTCTATGCCTCTAGAGTTCAAAATTTACTTTTTTAGCATACCTTTTCCTACATCCCATAAATTTGAATTTATAGTATTTTTTTCAAGTTGATTTGAATTTGAATTCAGTTCAGTTTGAATTTGATTTGGGGTATTTGCTTTTTTTTTTTTTCCCCCATAAAAATGCCTCTTTTTTTCCTCATTAAAGAACCACCTAACAAATCCCTAAAGCAAATAAACAGAACACATGAGTGTGCCTTAAGGACATTATAGTGTCTGTGATGCTATCACAGAGATGAACTTTAAGCATTTTAGTATATATTTTCTTCCAGGCCTTTATATGCCTATTAATTCAGCATACTGTTACTGTTTAATAGATGGGATTTGGGCTACCAACTCTAAAAAACTTCTTTTTTTTTTTTTCCAGCTAATAACATACTTGCTTTCATGAATCTTTTTTATTCTTTTTCCTTTAAAGTCCTTCACAGGGATATACCTTATGCATTTGGGAGTATTATGAGTGAGTTACTAAACGCCCCTGTTAGCTCCATGCCAAGCCAAGCAGATCCATCACTGTCCTTAAGGCACTCATGGTCTAATGGTGTCAGACCCAGGCACATGGACAGCTGCTGATATAGAGCTAAGCTCACGGCTCTTGGGAAGAGTTACAGGCAGCAGCTTCTGAGCAGAAACATGGGAAGCCAGGCAGAGGTGCTGTGTATGAGGGAGAGGCAGCTTCCAGGTGCAACTTGGCATCACCTGAGAAGGAGCCATTTCCTGTCAACATCCACCACACTGACAGTTGTGTCTCCCTCTGCAGGTGATTGCCATGATCAAAGGTCTGCAGGTGCTGATGGGCAGGATGGAGAGTGTATTCAACCATGCCATCCGGCACACCGTCTATGCTGCACTGCAGGACTTTTCCCAGGTTACCCTCCGGGAACCACTCAGGCAGGCCATCAAGAAGAAGAAGAACGTCATCCAGAGGTCAGCCTCAGTGTAATACCTCCCTGTGAGCTCAGAGTCTGAAGCTGTAGAATCAGTTTAAGATTAAACAACTATATAGTTAGATTTTCATAAATATGCTCAGTGCATTTATCTTCAACCTCCTCCAGAAGATGCCCTTCCGGTGACTTTTCTCTAAATGTGATGCGATAGGTCCAACTATTCACCTGAGCAATGTGTAATAAATCAACTACAGAATGTCTGAGCAGTGGGGATGCAGGGTCAAGGGTGTGTTTATCTTGGGGCAGGAGAGTGTCTCAATATCTGTTTAATAATTCTCATCACCAGGCATGTGGGGACAGGAAGCCCAGTATCAGATTTCCCATCTCAAGTGTGTCATCTTCAGTATTTTTGCTTCTGTTCCTTTTGACCTGTCCTACAAATTGGTTAGAGACTAACACAGATATCGCAGAGATCCTGTAGTGATCTTGAGCTAGTTTACTCTTAATACATAGCCTTTTATGAAATAGTCAATCAGAGAAAGACAGTTATCATATGATCTCACTGATTTGAGGAATTTGAGAAACAAGACAGAGGATCATAGGGGAAGGGAGGGAAAAATGAAACAAGATGAAACCAGAGAGGGAGATAAACCCTAAGAGACTCTTAATCTCAGGAAACAAACTGAGGGTTGCTGGAGGGAAGGGGAGCCTAAGAGATGGAGTGCGTGGGTGATGGACATTGGGGAGGGTATGTGTTATGGTGAGCGCTGTGAATTGTATAAGATAGATGATTCATAGACCTGTACTCCTGAAACAAGTAATACATTAAATGTTAATTAAAAAAAAAATACAGCCTTTTCAAGTTGTCTTTCAGAGACATCTATGTAAAATGAAGCTTACTGGGGCTCACAAATATATTGATTTCATTTTGTTGTTTTATAATTGATGTTTGACACCTGGCTTGGTATGACTTTTTGCATTAATAAAATTTGATACTGTTAGTCTTCCCATTTTGCTCATGTTTGCCATAATGGGAGGCTCACCACGTGGGAAATGTGAAGTGTAGTCTAAGAGTAACTCAGATTTTAGCCAGAGCTTTCCCCACGAGGTGATGGGATAGGCACATGGGTACATCTACCCCTGCTTGTGGTGGGGGTTGGGGGGCTCTCCATATGGTAGAGCCCTGGTGGGAATGGGAACGTGTTCCAAATGTGTCTGAGACATAGGCCCAGTTCGTACAGTGTTGGTGTGTTGTGTTGGTGACATGTTCCTGTTAGAAAACAGGGAATCAGCCAGGGGAAGTTGAGTTTCAGCTCCCTGGGTGGATATTTGTGGTTTGTCTCCTGCCACCTTTTGCATGACTCAGTGTTCAGGAAATAAAACATCACTTTCAGGTTAATTGATGCAAACTGCAGCTAAGGCAGATCTTTTGGGGCTAGTAATATCCCCCAGAAAATGATCTATCCAAAGTTTCTCTTTGAATTGGTCCATTACCATGTCCCCCACCGCCCCCAGAGGAAATCACGTTTGAGAGTTGGCTGTCCTGAGAGCTATGTGTTAGGTGAGGCAGTGCTGTGATTTTTAAAGTGGTGAGGGTGTCAGCACTCTGTGCCTCACTGATGACTTGATGGGACTGTTTAGTGTCCTGCAGGCCATCAGGAAGACCGTGTGCGACTGGGAGACGGGGCATGAGCCCTTCAACGACCCAGCCCTGCGAGGCGAGAAGGACCCCAAGAGCGGCTTTGACATCAAAGTACCCCGGCGCGCTGTAGGACCTTCCAGCACTCAGGTTCTCATTCTCCCTGCCCCCCTGCTCCATCTGTTCCCCTAAGTGGGCTAAACCTGAGCTGAGGGTTGATAAGCAAGGTCAGGAGTAAAATGACATAACCACTGTCTGCTCAAGATGATAAGTACTGCCTGTGCCTTTTTTGCTCCTCTGTTCCCTGCCCATGTGAATCTGGAGCATTAGCCAAGATGTTCTTGTGATTCTCAGATTTGGTCATTTGCACGCAGAATTTAATTTGACTGCATCAACTCCCATTGCCAAAATGTGGGTGAAAGTCTATGTGTCCATATTTACGCTGTGTTTCCTGGTGGGTGTTTAAATGTATGGTTATACTTTCTATGTTGAGACTAAAAATGATCGTTTCTGAAGATAAACTTTTAGAAGTTTAAGAATGTAGCTTTTTTGTGTCCCTGGTCTTAAGCCACCACTGCTGTTTTCTCTTCTGGCATGCTCAGACCCCTGACCCCCAAAAGCAGCTTTCTTCTGACTCTCACACCTGATTTAAAACATCCTTCTGCTTTTTTCTTCCCATTTTGGGGCTTAGTACTTCTTACTCATTGTTCTTCTGTTGGGGGCTTTTATAATCTCTTCTGCCAGCCTTTCAGAGAACTACCAGCAAAGCACATTGTTGGCTTTATGAAACCTCTCAAATATCTGGGAGGAAGGAATTTGGCCCAGTTATGGAGGATGCTTGTCCTGGGTCTGTCCAGTGTGCATGCAGCCTCCCCACCCTCTGTTCCCATGTGTGTCTCCCCATCCCATGATGTGTGTGTCCTGTGACTAACGGCTCTCTCCCACCTCTCCCCCACCCATCTGTCCGTGTCTAGCTCTACCTGGTGCGCACCATGGCGGAGTCCTTGAGCTCTGCCGAGCTGCTGAGGCAGCTCAAGTCTTTGGGCATGGAAAGACTCTTGCATGTGGTAAACGCGTTTCTGAGGCAGTCCTACACCTATCCACCTCTTTTAACCTTTGGTGGTAAGACATCATTTGTTTCTCTTGTTGATGTTTATGGCACGAAAGTGAACTGCTCTGCTACAAATTCTTTCTCCCAAGCAGCACCAACTTGGGCACTTAGATGGGTGCCCAGACCCACTTTTAGGGGCTGGTATAGTGGTAGGCTTACCACTCCAGCCTGGCTCTGGTCAGGGCATAGCGGAGTAGTCTTCCTCTTGTGGTTTATCTAAATTTGGTGTAACTAATGTACCATGTATATTTTCTCCCCCCACAAATGTTTCCTTGGATAATGCAGCTTTACATGGTGAGAACCATGCTAGAGTCCCTCATTGCAGACAAAAGTGGTTCCAAGAAAACCTTGAGAAGTAGCCTTGAGGGGCCCACCATATTGGACATAGAAAAATTTCATCGAGAGTCATTCTTCTACACTCACTTGATAAATTTCAGTGGTAAGAGATACTGCTGACCAGCATCTGGCCCAGCATGTTCTAACACTGCTAACACCGTCTAGAATGCTTCTGCTGACCTTCCCCTGCTGTGGTCCCCTCACACACCCAGACGGTGACCTGTGTTTTAACCTTCATGGTAGTCCCTCACCTGTCGCTTTAAATGCACAGCCAGCCAGAGGTCCCCTCCATGTGCATAGCCCTTAGAAGAATGAGGGCCACGGGCCTGTGGCTGGCTCTGTGACTTGAATATGGTCTTTGTAACCCATATGAGGTCAGAAGCACAGGTGAAGGTAATCTGTCACCTGGCTTGAGAACAAAATAGTGATAAATATCAGAAATAGTCCCCATGAGTAGTGACATGTGGAAGGTGGCAGTCACATTGAGCAGGACACTGGGTGGATACCCTTTGTCATTGCGGAGTCCATGTTTACTCTGGTGCTGCATGCAGCAGCTTGCTCAGAGCAGGAAGCCTCTATCTTGGCTGTGAGTGCTGCAGGTTTAGAGTAAAGACCAAAGCTTTTGTTGTTCACTTGTCAAATGATGGACACTTTTATTTTTCATTTGTTTCTATTTTACATTAGATAAACTTGAACTGAATATGCATGTAATGCTATATCTTTATCCTAAGTAAAATAAAATAATGTGGTTTTTATTTCTCCTTTTAAAAAGGACATTTTCCTCCCCTCCCAGTCCCTCAGAGAAGCTCACAGGGTTGACAAGTTCCCATTGATGGGTGGTGTTGTCCATGCCGGACCAGCAGGGGCCAGATGCTGACTCTGCTCTTTTTATGACCGAGAATGTGCACAGTCTAGGGTGGCTTTGCTTGCAGCCACATCATGTCTCATGTCTCATCTCTAGTGTGAGATGCTGTGTCACCCCTCCCTGCTCACATCTACTCCCGCATGGCTCAGGGCTGAGATTGAAGGAGCCGGACCTTGCACATGCCCCTCCCTGTCCTAGATCGTCCTGTCAACTTCCTTCTGCTTGCAGAAGATTAATATGGTATCATTTGAATCCTTCAAGAAACACTCCAGCAGTGCTGTGACCTTTCACAGTTGTGGTTCCGAGAGTTCTTTCTGGAACTGACAATGGGCAGGAGGATCCAGTTCCCCATCGAGATGTCCATGCCCTGGATCCTGACGGACCACATTCTGGAGACCAAGGAGGCGTCAATGATGGAGTGAGTACCCTCTGGGCATGTCTTAGTTCTTTGTGATGACCAGGGTCCTTGGTGGCATTTGGGAGCTGGGAGATGGAGGAGGGGCTGGGCTGTTTTCAGCACTTCATTTGAAGTTGTCATACTTCAGAGATTAATACAGGTAATGGGCTTCTTGCTTTAGACTAAAATCAAGAACTCAGGCAGCAAGAGTCAGTAAGTCCCACCATGTCAGGTGAGACTCTGTCAGCAAGAGTTGAGGTGGCCTGGCCTCTCATATGGCATAGCCTCTGAGCCAGATGAATTTGGGAGAGAAAGTGTTAATTGAATAGCATTCTTTTGAGGTCAGGGCTCAAGGCCAGGGTACGGGGTTGGAGACTTTCAAAATAGAAGGTCCACGAAGGTAAAGTAATAGGAAAGGGAGATATCTTATGAACAGCCTGGGAACTGACCCAGCAGGTTCTTCAGCAAAGAGAGTAATTGTATAGCACCTCGTCTTTTCCCATGCACGTCAATTCTTATGTGGCCGGGAGGATGGCCTTCTATTTTCTCTGGAGTGGCCGTAACATCCATTCAGCAGTACCAGAGAGGGGAGGAGGAGTATGGATATCTAACACAAAGGCCTTGGCATGCCTCTATGTTGTATCTTTGGAGTTTAGCTTGGCCCCGCTCCTTACACAGCCTTCCTGCTCTGAAGTCGAAGTGGTCTTGCACCCTCAGAGGGACCTTACTACTGGAGACTACTGGCTGCTGCCTTTTGTCCAGATACAGGGCTAGGTAGGGGAGAGGGCCTTTTGGCCATGCTGGACATGATGGTGGTCAGCTCTGGACTCAGGATCTTCATACGTTTTTCGTATTAAGTTCGACAGTTTATTCGTAGAAATAAGAAAATAACTTGTTTTTGTGATTATAAAAAATACTGTATTCTGTGGTGAAAGTTTTTGAAACATACATAAGTGAGAAGATGCCATTACAGGAGGCCCTTGTGAACCCTCCAGGGGTCTGGGCATGGCCTAAGTAAATGCGTCCCATTTGTGGGATCATCTGCCTTGGTCCATTAGGGTCCTTGATAAGAACCCCATTTGGTGTCCGAAGTAAGAGATTCTTTTTCCTCATGTGAGAGGTCAACAACGAATGTTAAATTTCATCTGGAGTGTGGGATGTGAGAGCTGAGGGGCCCTATGTGGAAGGCTGGCTGACCATTTGCCCCCTCTGCAGGTACGTCCTCTACTCCTTGGACCTGTACAATGACAGCGCACACTATGCCCTCACCAGGTTCAACAAGCAGTTTCTCTACGACGAAATTGAGGCAGAGGTGAAGGCGCAGGCACTTTCAACAAACTTTAATTTCCCTTTTCTCTGAGTATTAAAGGAAGCAAATTTTCTTTATAATACAAGGAGATTTGAACAATAGAATGAACTTCTGAAAAAACATTTTGGAGTAAATCCTTCTATCTGTATTTTTCTCTCTGCATCTACACATGTGTTATTGGGGTCTTACAACATAATACTTGACTACATGTCATAAGCACTTCTGTATCCTCACCTGTCTTTTATGAACACAGTTTAAGCCAACCCCTATTTTATTTCTTTCATTTTAGCTTTTTATTTTTGTGTATTGTAAGTAATGCTTTGAAGAACTTGCTTGCACCTAATTTTTTAGCTGTGTTCAATTATTTTTTGAGGACACATTCCTACAAGTGGAATTATTATGCAGCTAAGGAGATAAATCTTATTTTGTACCTTAAGATTTAAGAGCATTTAACCTCAAAAAATTGCATTGTGCATCTAGATGTCCTTCTCTGCCTCCTCACAGAGATACTAGAAAGTGCTTCTTCAGGGAGATGTCATAGGCTCCTGGGCCATGTAGGGTAGGCATATAGCAGAGACCTGCAGGTCCTGGGGTTGGTTTCCCTTTGAGTACGTGGTATCCTTATCAGAGTTCTGCATGGAGAGGCTAACTCCATTTGCAAGGAAAATTCAGTTTTGGGGGTGGAGTCACAAGGCTGTATCCATCCTATGTCTCCTCCCTGACCCAGTGCCCAGAGCTGTGTTCCAGGGGAGGCCACATGCAGTTCCTGGGATACACAGTCTGGTGGCAGGAGCAGAACCCAAATCCAGTGCACATTAGCCAGTGGGAGCACATGATGAAGGGAGACTTTTTCATATTCCTTTGCCTTTAAGAGTCAGGGAGCATTTTTCTCCATTAGTAAGGGATGTTCTGATACAATTTTCAGTGGCTGTGTAGTGGTCACTCCTGGCCACACTGTGAAATATTTAATCTGTTGTTTTTGGACAATGAGGTTGTTTCCTGTTTTTCTTTTCTAATAAAAGAGCCTTTGTTAATTGCCTTAACAAAAATTTTGCTTTTAACTTTATATTCCCAGAACTTACTCATTTTTTAACTGGAAGTTTGTACCTTTTGACTACTTTTATCCATTTTGCTCATCTCTACCTCTGGAACCACCAGTCTGTTCTCTATGCATTCATTTCTTTCTTTGTTTGTTTTTAAGATTCCACATATAATTGAGATTATACAGTATTTGTCTTTGACTTAGTTCAATGAATGTAATGTCCTCAGGGTCCATCCATACAGTTGCAAATGGCAGGATTTCCTTTTTTATGACTGAAGAGCATTCCTGTGTGTGTGTGTGTGTGTGTGTGTGAGAGAGAGAGAGAGAGAGAGAATTCTGTATGTGTTCATCCATCAGTGGACACTTAGGCTGCTTCCATGTCTTGACTATTGTAAATGATTCTGTAAACATGGGGGTGCATATATCTTTTCAAGTTAGTATTTTCAGTGTTTCTGGTGAAATACCTAGAAATGGAATTTGCTGGATCAAAAGTTTTGTTTTTTGTTTTTTTTTTTAAGTTGTCTTGTTTGATCTTTAGGAAACAAAACTCTAATATATGCTTTCTTTTTCTTCAGGTGAATCTGTGCTTTGACCAATTTGTTTATAAGCTGGCAGACCAGATATTTGCATATTATAAGGTTATGGCAGGAAGGTGCGTATGGTTTATGATTTGGACATGAAATCTAGGGTAACTTGATCTGACATTTCCATTAAAATTCACAGAATATGAGAAATGTCTTCTCTTCTTCCATACTAGTTTGCTTCTTGATAAACGTTTACGATCAGAATGCAAGAATCAGGGGGCAACAATCCATCTCCCACCGTCTAACCGCTATGAGACCCTACTTAAGCAGAGGCATGTGCAGGTGAGTCAGACCTTTCTGGGTCATGGTTGGGGGTGGAGCTGGCATTGGAATGGTGAGGTTTTCTTAGAGCTGACTGAGTTTTACTCGATGTCGGTATGTTCTGTGACTGTGGCTACATCCTTATAAAGTGTGGAGATCATAAAGACAGTTTCTTTTGGATACCCTGAAACCCAAGGGAAGGCTTGCAGCACTCTGCACCCTGCTCTGGCTCCCAGGGGGAAGGCATGGCCCCAGAGGGCTTGGGTCCTCTCCAAGAGCCCAAAAGTTAGAACTTTTTAAAAAAGAATGAAGGTGAGAAACACTTGTCAGCTGCGTGTTGAAGAGGAGCTTTTTCTTGGCCAGCACAAAAAATAAAAAATACAGTTCTTATTTTTTGTTTCCTTACAAATATGTGTGTGTGTATATGTGTCATAAATTGGGAAAGTACAGAAAACTGTAGGGAAAATTCCATTTAATTCTGCAGATAATCACCATTCACATTTTGAGACATTTGCACCAGGATTTTGCCCATACTTTTGTTACTGAAATGATATTGAGGCACAAATACATTGTTAGGACTCTGAAATAGGAATAATTTTCTCCTACTCATTGTACCACTGCAGAGTTTCCGCAGGCACAGGCTGCTGCGTGCTGGCAGATGGTCCTGAATAGCAGCATGAGGGTGTCCTCACTGCCAACCCAGGGTCTCCAGGGTGTTTGGTGAAACTTAGGGTTTCTGTCCATGACATAAGTGTAAGTTCAATGCAAAGGATGATAATACAAAAGTCCTTTATGGTTTTGACTTGCAGAATTTCAGCACCAGGAAGGTAGGGTATTTGATCATGACATCTGTATATGTCATTTGATCTAAAATGTTTACATTTTGTATATTGTTTGTTTGCTCTTTCTCTTAGAATTGGATTCTGAGAGAATATATACGTTTTTTGTTTCTTGGGTTTTTTTTTTTTTTCTTTTTTTTAAATTTTATTTATTTATTTGAGAGAGAGAGCAGGAGCAAGGAGAGGGACAGAGGAGCAAACTCCCTGTGAGCAGGGAGCCCAATATGGGACTCAATCTCAGAACTCTGGGATTGTGACCTGAGCCGAAGGCAGACACTTAACCAACTGAGCCACCCAGGTGTCCTTGTTTGTTTTTTATTGTTAGTTTTTTTTTTTTTTCCCCTTTTCCATCTTCCAGCTCTTAGGAAGATCCATTGACCTTAATCGGCTGATTACTCAGCGTGTCTCAGCAGCCATGTATAAGTCTCTGGAACTGGCTATTGGACGATTTGAAAGTGAAGACTTGACATCAATAGTTGTAAGTGCTCTCCCTTTTGTCCGGTTCAGCAGATTTGTGGAAAACTAGTTACAAGGATTGGAGCTAATTTTAATTTTGTCCTTGTTATTGCATAGGAATCAAAAGGTATGCACTGATCAAGCATGACCTATCCAATCGCTTTTTTAGTGTCTGCTCTTAGTAGTCACAATTCTAAATTGACTTCAAAGAACAAGTAATCCTAACCCTGAGTAAGTTACATGTAACTATGGCAAGAGAATGAAAGAAGAAAAATTTTAAAAATGAAAAAGAAGTGAACACAGAAAAAGTATTTGAAAAAATTATACAGAAGATATAATAATAATAATATATAATATATATAATATGTTCTATATTGTACATAATAAATAATAATAATATAATAATAGTAATGAAGATCTAACATACATATAGGGAACATACATATTATAAAGAAAAACAAAAGCAACAGGATGGAATAAATATTAAAAGTTGCATTTCAAGAAAACTGATAGAATTTAAGACTTGTGCTATTATCAACAATAGCCAAACTATGGAGAGAGCTCAAATGTCCATTGACTGATGAATATGGATAAAGAGGATGTGGTCTGTATACACAATGGAATATTACTCAGCCATCAAAGAAATAGGAAATCATGTCATTTGCAGCGATGTGGATGGAGCTAGAGTATATTATGCTAAGTGAATTAACTCAGAGAAAGACAAATGCCACATGATCTGACTCCTATGTGGAATTTAAAGCAGAAAACAGATGAACATATGGGAAAGGGGCAGAGAAAAAAGGAGAGAGGGAAACAAACCATAAGAGCCTCAACGATAGAGAACAAACTGAGGGTTAATGGAGGGAGGTGGGTGGGGTTGGGCTAGATAGGTGTTGGGTATTAAAGAGGACCCTTGTTAGGATGAGCACTGCGTGTTGAATGTAGGTGATGAATCACTGAATTCTACTCCAGAAGCCAATATTGCACTGTATGTTCACTACCTAAAATTTGAATGAAAAAAATGTATATATTAACAAAATTAAGACATGCTATAAAATACATATTAAAAGCTTATGGCATGTGCCTGGGAAAACTGACTCAAAGTGGCCAACACTAAGGAATATTGCAGTAAAAGTATTAGACTTTAAAGGAAAAGAAAAAATCCTCTGGATATCTGAGCAGAGTGATGAGAGAAAGAAAATTTGTCCTCAGGGCTTTGCCCCTAGCAATTCCGGCCGAAAGCCAAGGAAAGGAAGTATGAATTAAGGATTTCATGCAAAGCCAAATAGATTTCCCAGGAATGAAGCCTGCAGGGAAGTGGTAGTGAAGATGCAAGAACTCAGGGAAGATTGTTCATTTCTAGAGATGCAGTTCTGGGTAGACCAAGAGAGGCTTTGGTGAGCAGTGGGCACGACAAACTCAGGTTCGAGCATCTCCACATAGGATGAGCTGTGCTCCTCATATTCTTCCACAGAATTAAAATATTATTGACATGGATATCTTACATTCTTTATCTTCGTACTTGATTTTTAAAATCTGGGGTGTAACTCACATGCACAGTGTACCTCCGTTTGGACCAGCCACATTCTCATTGCCATCTGTAAAGCCCATGGCTGCTGGAGTGGATAGTAAAGAACTAGGCGTGCTTATGAGCAAACTAGGAAAGCTTGGAAGGCCATCTGTGAATGTGCTTGCTGACTCTGCTACACAGCTGTGCTTTTGAGTAATTCCAGGCACGTTAGGCTGACTTAGGCTAATGCCTGAGGACTCAGTGCTTCAGCAAGGGTGGGGGTGGACACATCCCAGTGGTCTGTACCCTGTGGGTGGTTGGAGGCCGGGGGGGTACAATGCAGAAATGACGTCAGTGGAGAAAGAATGATGACTCTGTGGGTGTGACCACAGTAAAAAGGTATGTTTCAGAGGCAGTGGAGAGGACATAATGAATTTAAGTGTAAGAAGCAAGCTCCTGCAGGCTACTAGACCCCCCACTGTGTGTATTCTTCACCTTGCTCACCAACCTCACCTCCGTGTGTCCTGCTGTCTTCTGCCCATTCTGCTCTGCCCCCAGCCATGGCACTGCCCATGCAGGGAATCAAGGCCACTGTGCTGGGCCCATTTCTGTCCTCACACCCCGTCTTTGTGGTCCTGTAGGAGTTGGATGGCCTTTTGGAAATCAACCGCATGACCCACAAGCTGCTAAGCAAGTACCTGACACTGGACAGCTTTGATGCCATGTTCCGGGAGGCCAACCACAATGTGTCCGCGCCCTATGGGAGAATCACCCTCCATGTCTTCTGGGAGCTCAACTATGACTTCCTGCCCAACTACTGCTACAATGGCTCCACCAACCGGTGAGCATGCCACCTCATGGATGTCCTTGCTAAAGGGTTCCTAAATGGGATGATCTCAGGGCCTCTACGTTATTCACTAGGTTGCTGTCCCCAACACTGTCCCCTATCATTTCTCATGTCCATGTATTCAAGCCCTTTCAGTCTCCTCTTTTTACAAGTGTAGTCCTGGGCATGTCTTACAGCTTTCCATGTGGAGACTGCAGAGCAGGCTGGAGTTCCCACCTGGGGCACTTGCTTGTAGCTCAGGGCTTGATCTCAAGGTGCATGTGGACAGCAGTTACCAGTTCTGTACCTGATGTTGGGAAGTAGTCACTGGCTCTATTTTTCATCCATTCTGGGATGTTGGGGTATATAAAGATCTGTCAGTTAGCCACCCTCTCACCCACCTATGCTTTGCTACTATGCTGAACAACACAGTGGCCAGTGAGGTGAGTGGCATGGTTGACAGCAGCAGTTTCATGTGATTCAGCCTCATAATAACGGTCCAAATCCTGTAACAGCTCTGTCTTGGCCTCTGTGCACTGGGTAGCCGCCTATTTGAGGTTTGTTCCATGTGCCCTTAGCTTCTGCTCCCTGTGAGCACATGCTGGGGATGTGTGTGTATGTGTGTGTGTGTGCTTGTGTGTGTTATGACTGCTTTTTAAAAATCATTGTCATTTCTGTGTCCTATTAGGTATCCCCATCATTTTTTTTAAAAGATTTTATTTATTTATTTACAGACAGAGATCACCAGTAGGAAGGGAGGCAGGCAGAGAGAGAGGAGGAAGCAGGCTCCCCGCTGAGCAGAGAGCCCGATATGGGGCCCAATCCCAGGACCCTGAGATCATGACCTGAGCTGAAGGCAGAGGCTTTAACCCACAGAGCCATCCAGGCGTCCCTGTCCCCATCATTTTGAAGCACTTCTTGTACCTCAAGAAGTTCCATGTTTATCTTGTACTTCTCAGGCCCTATCATTGCAACTTGTCACTTCCACAGAATTCCTTCTAGTGGAGAATATTTTAGAACTAGGCTTAATATTAAAAAGTAAGCCTGGGTATGATCATTGTTAGTGGGATGTCATTGTTTCTAGACCCTTTTGATGTTCAGAGCTAGGAAGTTCCTGACTATGTATCGTATTAGGGTTCTCTGACAAATTGTCACAAACCATGGGGCTTCAAACAACAAAAATTTCTTTTCTCATAGCTCTGGAGGCTAAATGTCCAAAATCAGTGTGTCAGCATGGCTGTGCTGCTTCCTTCAAGACTCTGGATAGAATCTTCTCTTGCCTCTTCCCAACTTCAGGTGGTGGCCAGCAATTTTTGGCCTTTGTTAGTGTGTAGCTGTATCATTCCAGTCTCTGCCTCTTTAGACATGTGGTGTTTTCCCTGTGTGTGTCTCTCCTCTTAGAAGGACCTGAGTCATATTGACTCATTAAAGGCCTGCTGTACCTCAGTATGACCTCATCTTAACTAATTACATCTGCAATGTCCTGGTTTCTGAATAAGATCACATTCTGAGGTACTGGTAGTTAAGACTCCAAATTATCTTTCTGGGTATACAAACCCATGAAGCATGTGTATGCACGGCTTCTCTGTAGCTGTCTACATATTTTATCTACGAATCCACACTGGAATCTTCAGTTCCAGTTCAGCTCCAGGAGGGGGGTCTTATTCTTGTTTTCTCCCCCCCTTTCCATTTTTGTAACTCCCTTCTACACTGGGAATCCTGTTTCATTATTCTTGGTATATTAACTCACTTGCTCAGTTCTAGAAAATGCAGAAAATAGTTTCAAAATTACTGATCCTTCCTACCATGAAACACAAGCCTACTAACTGGCATTCAATATTTGTTTCCAGTGTTTTTGTCTTTACATTGAGAACATATATGTGCATAAATATATATGGTGTTTCAAAGTTGTTTGGAATAATGGAGTAACAGGGTTTGGATTTACTCTTTTGCCTTAAACAAGTGAAAAATGAGACAAAATTTATGAAACCACTGTTCTCAGACTTTGCGTTTCCTTGAGGGAAAGGAAACAAAGGCCATGAACCCTCTGACTTCCCTGCTTTCTGCCTGGAAGCACTTTCTGGGCCTCATTGTGAAGGGGGATATCCCAAATACAGCTTGGAAGTCTTGTTTGGTGGAGGAGGCAGATTCAAAATTGAGGAAGCTGGAGCAGCTGGGATTTGCATGGCAGATCTGCAGTATGGGAGAGGAGAGAGCTACATAGTGAAATAGCTCCTGAGACCAAGTTAGGGACCCTTTAATCTTTGCTTGAATATTAAACTGTGTGTGCACTGGGTGAAACTCCACAAGGATAGTCAAAGAGCAACTTTTTGGGAGCTGTGAGCCAAATAATTCCCAGAGCTGACATAGAGTTAGGAGCCATTTGATGTCCTACCAGCAAGAATGGGGAAACCTCCCTGAGTACCTACACACTCCTCCCTGAGTACCTACACACTCCACAGAATTGCCAGAGGCCCTGCCTTAGTATTATTCCTCAGGTGCTGACTACTGTGCCACCCTAATTATGAAAGGTTCCAGCTGACTTGAAATCAGTTAACAGCCTGCCCAAAATAACTCAGCACTTTAAAGGATAACAACAAAATCCACACACTTGTTGCTGCGGGCCACTGGCCTCCCCTCAGATGTTCATGTTCATTTCATGCACTGGTGATATTTTGCCAGTTAGGTCCCTCTTTATTTATTGAAGTGTAATATGTGTCAGAGTCTTTGAATTTAATAATTAGCAAATCCATATATTTTTCGTAACGATGCTTCTTTATAAAAGTTTTATATTTTAGGGGCACCGGGGTGGCTCAGTCAGTTAAGTATCTATCTGCCTTCCACTCAGGTCATGATCCTGGGGTTCTGGGATCAAGCCCCACATCGGGATCCTTGCTCCGTGGGGAACATACTTCTTCTGCCCCTCCTCCCTACTTTTGCTCTCTCTGTCAAATGAATAAGTAAAATCTTTAAAAAAAAAAAAAAAGTTTCATATGTTTAAATGAACCCTTCTGATTTGAAAGTCAGCCAAATTTGCTTTAAAATCTAAGCATTTGATTTTCAGTGTCTCCTAATCCTTTATTAAGCCATAGTCTCATGGTTTTGTGAGTGTGGTTATAAGTACTTAGGTTGCTCATTCTTCCTGCTAGCTTGTAACTAGTGATTTGAGTAACTGGACATGACTGACTGTATCTGCCTTCCCACTCCTATTCATGAGGTCACTGGTGTGGCCAGATGTCCAACAAGACCTGAGTGCTTGATCATTATCACTTGTCAAAGGACTGCAATGGGCATGAAATGGTCCTGGTGCCAGTAAACCAGACTGTCTCCCGGAGTTTGGAGACTGCTTACATGGTGGAAGGACCCCGGGGTTCTCATTCTTTTGATGAACTCTGGATACTTGTATTATACTTGGGAGTATTTATATCTCATGGTATTTGATTTCTTAGAATTTTCCTATGTGATGATTAGATCAGTTAACTGGGAGAAGATGTAACTGATTGGTAATGGAAAAGTTCTGAATTTTAAAGAACTACCATTAAATTTCTTTTCTTTTTTCTTTTTATCCTTTTTGTTTAGATTTGTTCGGACAGTATTACCATTTTCTCAAGAATTTCAAAGAGATAAACAGCCTAATGCACAACCCCAGTATTTGCATGGATCAAAAGTAGGTTCTTTTGTGTTTGTGTTATGATTTTTTAAGTTCACAATGAAGCATATTTTCAAGTTTAGTTTAAATCAGGTGAGTTGTAATGATTTAAATATATCATGCCATGTTTGAAATGTTATTGTCTTCTTCTATTAGCAACTTCCAAAAAAGGAATGTAGTGTCAGGACAGCCCTCTGACCATGTGTTGGGTATCAGGCTAGGCCTGGCCTCATTCCTGGCCCTAAAATAAGTGAGATTGTCAGCATAGTTAAGGTTTAAAAATATCAAACAAGGAAAGGGTGTGTAATAGGCTCAGAGGCTCATCTTCGATAGAGGGGCCAGAATATCTTGTCCAGGTGTGATGCCACGAAAGGAGGGGTGAGGTGGGAAGGAGCATGCAGAAGAGAATTGATATACAGAAACCCTAGGCAAGCAGACAAAAGTCGCAGAACACCTGCTGTCTGTCTAGTAAGGTGAGATAAATGTCCAGGCTGAGGGTGGCTGGATTTGCAACAAGTTGAGAGTATTATTAAAGAATAGTATTGTTAATATTTAAAGCACTCTTACATTTTCATAAGAAATAAACACTCTAGTAAAAAGGAAACAAGTGATGAGCAGGCATTTCCCAAAAATGTAGTAAAAAATAGAAATAGAGGGGCGCCTGGGTGGCTCAGTGGGTTAAAGCCTCTGCCTTCGGCTCAGGTCATGGTCCCAGGGTCCTGGGATCAAGCCCCGCATCGGGCTCTCTGCTCAGCAGGGAACCTGCTTCCCTTCCTCTCTCTCTGGCTGCCTCTCTGCCTACCTGTGATCTCTGTCTGTCAAGTAAATAAATTAAGTCTTTAAAAAAAAAAAATAGAAATAGATATCTAGCCTCACCAGTAGTTGAAGAAAAATGAGTGCACATGGGACTGTATGATTCTAGGGGATCACCTGAAATATTTCTAATATTTAAATGTTCTCTGGGTACTAAACAAAAATATGCAGCCAAGAATACTTTATCCAGCTAGGCTGTCATTGAAGATAGAAGGAGAGGTAAAAAGCTTCCAGGACAAACAAAAACTAAGAGAATTTGCAGTCATCAAACCAGTCCTGCAAAAAATATTGAAAGGGGTTCTCTAATCAAAGTCAGAGCCCAAGAGTAACATAGACCAGAAAGGAACAGAGACAATACACACTAACAGTTACCTTACAGATAATACAATGGCACTAAATTCCTATGTTTCAGTAGTTATGCTGAATATAAATAGGCTAAAATGCCCCAGTCAAAAGACACAGGGTATCGGATTGAATAAAAAAACAAGACCCATCTTTATGTTGTCTGCAATAGACTCATTTTAGACCCAAAGGCACCTCCAGATTTAATGTGAGGGGGTGAAAAACACTTATCATGCTAATGGACATCAAAAGAAAGCTGGGGTGGAAATCCTTGTATCACACAAATTAGATTTTAAGCCAAACATTGTAATAAGAGATGAGGAAGGATGCTATAATATACTTAAAGGGTCTGTCCAACAAGAGTATCTAACAGTTGTAAATATTTATGCCCCTAACATGGGAGCAGCCAATTATATAAGCCAATTAATAACAAAATCAAAGAAACATCAACAATTATACAATAATAGTAGGGGACTTTAACACCCTCTCACTGAAATGGACAGATCATCTAACCAAAAGATCAACAAGGAAATAAGGGCTTTATTTTATTTTATTTTATTTTACTTTATTTTATTTTATTTGACAGACAGAGATCACAAGTAGGCAGAGAGGCAGGCAGAGAGAGAGAGAGGAGGAAGCAGGCTCCCCGCAGATCAGAGAGCCTGATGCGGGGCTCGATCCCAGGACGCTGGGATCATGACCTGAGCCAAAGGCAGAGGCTTTAACCCACTGAGCCACCCAGGCGCCCTGAAATAAGGGCTTTAAATGACACACTGGACCAGAAAAACTTCACAGATATATCCAGAACTTTCCATCCCAAAGCTTCAGAATACACATATGGAACATTCTCCAAAATATTAACATACAAGATCACAAATCAGGTCTCAACAGGTACCAAAAGATTGGGATCATTCCCTGCATATTTTCAGACCACAGTTCTTTGAAACTGGAACTTAATCACAAGAGGAAAGTTGGAAAGAACTCAAATACATGGATCCTGAAGGGCATCTTACTAAAAAATGAATGGATCAACCAGGAAATCAAAGGAGAATTTAAAAATTAATGAAAATGAAAACACAACTGTTCAAAATCTTGGGATGCAGCAAAGGCAGTCCTAAGAGGGAATTATATAGCAATACAAGCCTTTCTCAAGAAACAAAAGAAGTCTCAAATACACAACCTAATGTTATGCCTAAACGAGCTAGAGAAAGAACAGCCAATGAAGCTGAAACCCAGCAGGAGAAGAGTAATAAAGATCAGAGTCAAAATCAATGAAATAGAAATGAAAAGAACAATAGAACAGATAAACAAAACCAGGAGCTGAAAGAATTAATATGATTGATAAACCCCTGGCCAGACTTACCAAAAAGAAAAGAGAAAGGACCTTAAATAAATAAAATCATGAGTAAAAGAGGAGATATCACAACTAACACTGAAGAAATACAAACAATTATAATAACGTATGAGCAACTGTATGCCAAGAAATTAGACAATCCGGAAGAAATGAGTGCATTCCTAGAGATGTATAAACTACCAAAACTGAATCAGGAAGAAACTGAAAACCCCAACAAACCCATAATCAGCAAGGAAATTGAAGCAATAATCAAGTCTTCCAACAAACAGGACCCCAGGGCCAGTTGGCTTCCCAGGGGAATTCTGCCAAACATTTAAAAAAGAATGAATACCTATTCTCCTGAAACTGTTCCAAAAAGTAGAAATGGAAGGAAAACTTCCAAACTCATTTTATGAGGCCAGCATTACCTTGATCCAAAACCAGACAAAGACCCCACCAAAAAGGAGAATTACAGACCAATATCCCTGATGAACATGGATGCAAAAATTCTCACTAAAATACTAGCCAGTATGATCCAACAGTACATTAAAAGGATTATTCACCTCGACCAAGTGGGATTTATTCCTGGGCTGCAAGGTTGGTTCAGTATCCACAAATCAATCAATGTGATACACTACATTAATAAAAGAAAGGACAAGAACCATTTGATACTCTCAGTAGATATGGAAAAAGCATTTGACAAAGTACAGCGTTCTTTATTGATTAAAACTTCACAGTATAGGGATAGAGGGTACATAGCTCAATATCATAAAAACCATTTATGAACAACCCACAGTGAATATCATTCTCAATGAGTAAAAACTGAGAGCTTTTCCTCTGAGGTCAGGAACTCAGCAGGACTGTACACCATCATCACTGCTATTCAACATAGTACTAGAAGTTAAAGGCAACAGAAAGAAACAAAAGGCATCCAAATCGGCAAAGAAGTCAAACTCTCACTCTTTGCAGATGATATAATACTTCATGTGGAAAACCCAAAAGACTCCACCCCAAAACTGTTAGAACTCATACAAGGATTCAGTAAAATGGCAGGATATAAAATCAATGCCAGAAATCAGTTGCATTTCTATACACCAACAATGAGACAGAAGAAATAGAAATTAAGGAGTCGATCCCATTTACAGTTGCACCAAAAACATCAAGATACTTAGGAACAAATCTAACCAAAGAGACAAAGGATCTGTACTCAGAAAACTATAGAATACTCATAAAAGTTATTGAGGAAGACACAAAGAAATGGAAAAACGTTCCATGCTCATGGATTGGAAGAACAAATACTGTGAAAATGTCTGTGCTATCTAGAGCAGTCTACAAATTCAATGCAATCCCTATCAAAATACAATCAACTTTTTTCACAGAAATGGAACATATAGCCCCAAAATTTATACGGAACCAGGAAAGACCTCGAATAGCCAGAGGAATGTTGAAAAAGAAAACCAAAGCTGGTGGCATCACAGTTCCGGACTTCAAGCTCTATTACAAAGCTGTAGTCATTAAGACAGTATGGTACCAGCACAAAAACAAACACACAGATCAGAAAACCCAGATTAGAAAACCCAGAAATGGACCCTCAACTCTGTGGTCAACTGTTCTTCAAGAAAGCAGGAAAGAATGTCCAGTGGAAAAAAGATGGCCTCTTCAACAAATGATGTTGGGGAAATTGGACAGCCACATGCAGAAGAATGGAACTGGACCATTTTCTTACTCCATACACAAAAATAACCTCAAAATTGATGTGAGTTAGGAATCCATCAAAATCTTAACGGAGAACACAGGCAGCAACCTTTTCAACGTCAACCGCAGCAACTTCTTCCTAGATACATCGCCAAAGGGAAACAAGGGCAAAAATGAACTATTGGGACTTCATCAAGATAAAAAGGTTCTGCACAGCAAAGGAAACAGTCAACAAAACCAAAAGACAACTGATACAATGAGAGAAGATATTGCAAATGGCATATCAGATAAAGGAAAAATCTATAAAGAAATTATCAAACTCAACACCTAACGAACAAATAATCCAGTCAAGAAATGGGCAGAAGACATGAACAGACATTTTGGCAAAGAAGACATCCAAATGGCCAACAGACACATGAAAAAGTACTCAACATCACTTGGCATCAGGGAAGTACAAATCAAAACCTCAGTGAGATACCACCTCACACCAGGCAGAATGGCTAAAATTAACAAGTTAGGAAACGACAGATGTTGGCAAGGATGGAGAGAAAGGGGAGCCCTCCTACACTGTTGGTGGGAATGCAAGATGGTACAGCCACTCTGGAAAATAATATGGAGATTCCTCAAAGAGTTGAAAACAGAACTACCCTATGACCCAGCAATTGCAGTGCTGGATGCTTACCCCAATGTTTTATAGCAGCACTATCCATAATAGCGAAACTACGGAAAGAGCCCAGATGTCCATCAGTAGATAAATGGATAACGAAGATGTGGTATGTATGTGTGTGTGTGTGTGTGTG